TAAAAGTAATCAGAAATGGTGACTTTTATGAGAAATGACTATGATTGTGACTGAAGATGTTAACAGTTGTCATTAAGTTTACCTAAACTAAGGTGGTGATGATTGCGATGATTATAATAATGTTTGAAGACGATCATTCGTGATAATTGATCACGATAATGACCATGACTGAAGACGTTGATGAAGATGATTAACAAAGAATAAAGTGACAACCAAAGTAGCGGTTAGTTTTGATAATGAAAATAACTATATTATATGGCTGGTAAATATTAAAGCGAATGTTTGCGATATTGGAATGTCATTGAAACAATGGATTCAAACACTTTGGCATCGTTTTGCTGCAGATTAATTGGTAACCCTGACAAAGACCAACTACTCAAATAGGTATTATGCGTTTGAGACTATCCACTCTACTACATTTTCGGTACGGACCGGTAGTGGTCAAATTGCGGTTCAAGGGTTTTGGGTGCAAAATATCCATTCAATGTTGTTTAAATATTGCCTTCAGAGGCTTAGATAGCAATACTTCAACCTACATTCGCAAAAAACAGAAATATGTGCCCAAATGTTCAATGTTGAAGTGCATTCGCGATATCTATCCAGGCCGGATCGATATGAAAATTTACCAAATATATCAATTAGTAGGCGGTTTCCCGGCAAAATTTGTACCATCACGTATTAGTCAAAACATATTCTGTCACATGATTGGTATAATAAGAGCTTCCATTTCATTTTTGAAGAGGGGGCGTTTCCAAAACTGGTCTAAACCTTTAAAATAAATTTTAAAAATTTAATATGATCTACCTAGACTAGCAAAATAATCTCCGACCCAATGATCTTTGCAAATGAGTGATATTAGCGTCTCCGAGGCTGTTTATTGACCGCTGCTTGTCCGCTTGTCCGCATTAAGGATTGACCAAATCTGGGGCATTTACAGAATCATGAAGTCGGTCCCTAGATGAAGAAAAAATGAAAACAAATCTGAAATATCCCAAGGGAATTCCCGCTCCGAGATCCAGTTTAAATCGAGATCGATGAGACAACCAAGATCGGCTGAAGGGGATATAAAGATAATCTCAACACTTCATTAATTGCGATTGATTTGAGGAGAACCGCTGGACTTTGTATGCAGCTTTGGGGTAAACAATTCGTGGAAAATGCCTCGATTTAAGATTAAAAATAATCTTCGAAATGGATATGTTTTTTTCGAAATAAATGAGAGGATGTTTATGGCCTACTTGCCTGGCATTTGCTGACCTTTTTGAAAGTCAAACAAGAATAAAATCTTCTAATTGATCGAAGTTTATCTGGGGTTTCTTTCACAAGAGTAAGAAAACAAAATAAGGAAGGAAAAAATAAAGTAGAGAGTGGATGTAAAACCAAAAATAAAGAAATAAAAGAAAAAGACGAAGACTATGAAGAAGGAAAGAAGAATTAACATAAAGAAAGAAAAAGATAATGATGATGATGATGATGGTGATGATGATGATGATGATGATGATGATGATGATGATGATGATGGTGGTGATGATGATTATGATGATGATGATGGCGATGATGATGATGATGATGATGATGTAGGTGATGATGATGATAGAGAAAACGAAGAAATGAGAAATAAAGAAAAAAAATGAAAAATGAAAAAGGGCATATAAGAAGAAGAAGAAGAGTGAGAAGCAGAAGGGGAGATGGAGAAGAGGAGGAGGAGGAGTACTGAAGAGGGGATGAGATTTTAAAAAACCTAGAAGAAGAAGAAAAATCCAGCAATGCTTCGGCAATGCTTAGAGTAATATTAGCATTCGTAGGATACACTGAAGTATTATCCTGTACAGTTATGTTGAAAGTTAATGTGTATTATGTATTTGATATTCACCACAGGAGTGGATTATGTTCGACAGCTATTGATATACCTATTGACCATCCGATACGCTCAAGTCAGTAAATGTAATTTGTAACATGGCAACCGAAGAATTGTGAATGTATTTATTCCAGAATACTACAATGTGTTAATCTGTTAATGGTAGGTGACTGGGTGTTACGTAAGCTTGTGTGGTGCACGCGCCACTTCGCCCTGTTATAGCTCCTAGATCCTCAAGTCACGGGTTGCGCGCACGCCCGCTCTTAGTAACACATTCCTCCTAACAAATGTCAAATGGTATCTAATTAATCCCTCTTTTATTCCGATTGACGTCATTTGAGATTGTGTTGACGCGTAGGGGATCATGTAAGTGCTCTTAATTAACCCAATCAAATGAGCTAAATACAGAAAAGTACAAATCGTTTTATTGAAATCTTGTTAGTCCCCGCGCGATTCTGTGACATCACTTTGCGTTTATTTTGCAATGATAATGAAGGGCGAGAGAATCTTCGATTGACGAAGGACAGAATTAGCCATATAATTGGGAGAGAGTGTTTTGTGTTTTAAGTAGTTTAAACGGTTACATCCCCCAAAAGTTTAGGTGTTATAAAAACGTTTTAACCATGCTCAAAATCAGCAGCACTACCTCATGCATCGAAGGGGAAGAAGTTGGTAAAATGTACCCCAAATTGAGAAGTTTAAACCACAAAAATAACAAGCTTTAAAAACAAAAAGGAACCAAGATACAGCAAATCTCACGAGCCCCCTCCCCCTTCCAACTCCACCTTTCACGTCCTCGAAAATTATGGCTACGACGCTTCGTAATGTGCAATTTAAAAATGAGTAACTAATGAGGACAATTAATGAATTATTGTTAGGTTTTATCATAATTGCTGGCCTTGGGTCATCCCTAAAATATCGCTGTCGTATATTTTTTAACTTTAACTTTGTTATCTCATTTTGTAAAGGGCTGAATTATCTTTTGAATAGACAAATGGCCAATTTGTAACATAATCATATTAAATGATGACGTGTAGTAATTATCTAGAATATGCTCTTACCAGCCATGACATTTTAAACAGTTCTTTACTAATTACCATTTATAAAAATTCCAGGGATAATCATAATTTGCACTATTACTCAATATTGTGATAACATATAAGTTGACAAGGATAATTAGATTAATGAAAATTGAGCGGATAATTGCGTCGACTTACACAATACACGCCCACACATATCACCCACTTTGAGAGAAGTAAAGCAAGTAAGAATGTAAAACCCAGTTGCTCCGTGATAATCCTAATTTTCTTTGAATGTATATAGTTTTAATCTGTGTTAACCCAGGAGAGAGAGAGGGGGGGCTTTGATTTCAACCCCCTCCCTTAGCCCCTCCCCTAGCCCCTCCCCTCCCCTGTCAAAGTGATTGAATTCCTCTTTGCGAATTTTTAGGGAGGTGTTTTTGCGGCTGAAATACCTTTTTTTTAATGAAGATTTTGTTTTTATTATTATTAGGGCAGGGTGTGGGAGGGGGTCATAACTTCTCTTTTTTATGTTCCCTTCTACTCTTCAATTTTTTCGTTCCCCCTCTCCCCTCCCTACCTCTTACCCTCCCTTTCCCTCCCCCACTCTCCCCCTCCCCTCCCTCCTTCCTTCTCTCCCTCCCTCCCTCCTTCCATCCCATTCTCTCTCCGTCTTTCTGCAGTTCGACAATGTGTGACTCGGTGTGTAAGCATGCAGCTGCCATAAATGGTCAAGACATAATTCACTCGATAAGTTAAGACGTATAGAGAGAGTTTGGTGCCGAACATACTCATGACGACTTTATAATGTGTAGCTACAAAGCCGCTGACTCTTCCGATATCAACGCCAATTGCTCATATAAGTTTAAGTAAAGTGAGGCCAGAATAAATGCAGCTGCTCCAGATCGAGTCCCTGCGTCTTGTCGAGTTACACGATCTTTCTTGAAACGAAAGCGGAAGAACCATGTGTGTGAAGACGAACGTTACAGATGCGACGTCTCGTAGTTTTGTCGTTAATGTTTCACAAAGTGTAAGGGTAAATTGGACCAGACCATACGTAAATGAGAGGGGTTTATTTTACACATTATCCCCGACATTAAAGAAAGGGACCTGATTTCACGAAAGGTCGAGTAACGCGACCACACGACCCGACGAGATGTACCGATGATTCGAAGGAACCCCCACCCCCACCCCGCCGCCCCTAACTCCAAACAACGCCAATCGTGCTCTTTCTTTTCCTTTTTTCATGAGTACTGAGCGCGTTATAACCTAGAAGTTTTTTAGTTTTTGATTTTTGTTTTGGAAAGGGAGGTTGAGGGGGGACTCCCCTTCCCCTCCCTACTTTTCCTAGGTTATTGAAACTTAGGAAAATCAATTCCTGTATCCATGGGACTATTATGACAAAACCGGGGGCTCTTGTATTTAAGAAGCGCTAATTTAATAGAACTTCAAAATCACACATAGATGGGAACTAAAAACGCGATACGGACTGATGGAAAGTTATTTTTGAGTTTTATTACCGACGCTCTTTACTCATGAGACACTCGAGGTGGTAGCGTTCTTAAGAAATGGAGAGGGCACAACTACTTTAACAGCTTAGCAATAAGCAAAGCTATCACAAATATCATAAGTAAGAGTAATTTAGGATTACTGTCCCATTGCCACATGACCGACGCCCCTGTGATTTTGTTTTTACTGTGTGATATCCTTTTATGCAAAAGAGATGTAGAAAACAGTAAAGTTTGTGAAAAAGGGTGGTATTTTGACAATACTTGTAAGCTTTCTTTATCATCCGGAGATAATAGAGCGCCAAGATTCGTGTAAGTTAGTATTCTAGGAAGGGGGAATGGGGGTGACCATGCCTAAATGTGATTTTTTTTTCGGCGACACACAGATTAGTTACGTCGTGCGCTCTCGAAATATTTAGGATTTTGTCAGTGCTACAAATGGGGGGGGGGGTGTATTAAAGCATCCACGCGCGAAAATGACGTTCCAACTACACAAGTCGTACAAGTTTGGTTTAAGGGTATTTGAACGTTAAATGGAATGACCTCTTCTTCTACTCCTTTTATTTTTGTTGAGTCACTCCCATCAAACGGAAACAAGTTGAACACCAAACGTCATACTGTCACCATCACCGCAATGGATTCATAAAGTTGCTCACATCGTAAGCCCGACCGACCGCCTCCACCCTTCCCCCTTTCTCTCATGCAAGCTCATAGCTTAGTCTATGAGGATATACAATGCCAGCAAGCTTTATGCATTCAAACTCTTAACTCTGAATTAGTTTTGACGCCATACCTAGCTCCTGCCTGACCTGGAGTCAAACGTGTCTTTAGCGATCACTTCTGAGCACCATGTTGTGCAACACACTTGTCGCTTCAGATCAAGCATTCATTGACGCAATATTGACCAAACGACAATTATCGGCAACTGGTTTTTAATGACTTATTACTCTTCACCGCACTTATCGATTGCGTTTCGACTTGTTAGATTTTTAGTTCTGCCGCGGAGTATTTTTGGAGGATTTTCGGGAGGCATGCCTGGTGCCGTTCCATGCGTGTCCCATCCTTCCGAGTTATTTTAACTGAATGGGAACAGTGTTCCGAATCGACTAGCAAACCAACAAACACAACGATTACATTCCGCCAGAACCACTGATGCACCGTTACGGTATTCGCATCGTTCCAGTTTTCTGTCCACCGGGCTAAAACACTCAGCTAACGTGATGCAGGTTTTAGGAATAAATATACTTGGGATATTACTTCACGTTGCCACCCTGGCAAACGCGCAAAATGTTGGTAAGTTTCAATTTCGTAAATCTTTTTCGCCATTTTTTAAATAGATTCTTAAGATGCTCGTCCTGCGTAGATTGTCATCATTGGTTTCAACTCATATGTTCCATTTTCAGTATCCATTGACCATTGAACGCGGAATTTTTATTGGCTTCATATAGTAGCTTTTTCAATATATGATATTCACCAAAACCTTTAAAAAAAGAAAGGTATAAAGCATTTCATATATATATTGAAGTATCCACTGAAGTACGTTTGTTTCATTGAGCATTGATGTTTCTCTAGCTCTTCACAGATAAGTTGTGGTAAAGTCTAGATCAAACAGAAGTTGCAACATTAAACCAAAAAAAATGTTTTTGGTCTTAATGAAACATTTTCAATCAAATTGATGTGTGTTAGTCCTTTTTCTCATAAACTAGAATGAAAAAACTTCAAGGTCTACCATAGTCCCATTTTGGATACATTGGATGTATAATGCACCATATTTAGATAAATCAGTGTTATTTTGTCGGGTGTGCCATCGCCAAGGTTTTGCTCTTTTTTTAGGTCTTCTTATTTTGTATTAAAATGAATTTCACAACCCATACACATTCGCTCAACATACGTTATGCTTCATACTTCATGGTTTATGACTGACTAAAGCACATTGCTTTTGAAGTTTCTGGTTTCCGGGTTTATTCTTACAAACGATACTTGTTTCTTACTATAAAAAAAAGTACAGGTGTGCACATAACAGCTCCATCCTCAGTTTGTGATAAACCCTACTAATATTTTAGTTTTCATCATTGTTATTGGTATAAGAACCAGACCCTATTAGATGTTTATATTGTTTCATTTTCTCAGAGCACTTTCTTTCCCATATCTTCCTTACATTATTATATTTTCTTTTTTTTTTCCTTTCCTCTACTTTTCTGTATTTCCGCACAAACGTTCTCATTATAACTTGCCTCGATTCTTGTACCCCTCCCTTCCCCCGTCCTTACCCTATATGGACCCTCACAGATCCTCTCCTTCCAAGCGGGAACCTGCCCCCTTTCGAATGATTTTTGTTTGAATATTTAGCCTACAAACAGAGAGGGAAATATATATATATATGGAATAAGAGAAGAGAAAAGTCGGGAAAAGAAGACGGTTGCTAGCCCCGTCCGCTTCCTTCACCCTCCCTATACTCTGAAGCCTTGAAATTCCCTTTTCATTTTCAGAGTATGACCGCCCCTTTCCCCATCAAGATTTTAGTGCCTACTCAATGACTGGAATCAGGCTGTGACACTTCTATTATCTGCTTAACTTTGTTTTCAATATATACTTTGACCCTATATCATTATAAGGAAGAAATATATTTGTGCGTGTTTATCACGTTATCTGAACATATTCAAATATGCCTACATGATCCTGATATGATCGCATGCTTTGTCCATTGGTTGTAAATGCATGATTATTTTTTTTTACTTGTAAAGAGATCGCTGAAATACGTGAACATTTACACACAATTGATTATTATTGTAGTTGTTTATACGGTGTGTGCAATAAAATGTAAACAATGAAAATGAAATGAATGAGAGATATTCGACAGTGATATAACAAACTGAATATAATCTTATTGTTGTGACTACACGGATATACTAATGCTGAATATTTGTTGGAAGCACGTAACCTAAATTACTCGATATTACTTGGTGCAGAGTTGAATATACGGGTAGCTTTGGTGTTGTGTATGATATTCATTTATTCATACTGCTTTTCCAGGCAGGGATTAGCGGCTATGCACTCGAACACGACCATGTGATACCAATGGTTATCAATGTTGAAGACTTGTTAGAAGTAATAGATTGTTAGAATTACAATGAAACATATAGTTACTAATCATCTTAAATATAAAAACCTACCAGTTTCGAACAACTGACAATGAAAAGAAAGTTCCTAAGCCCACTCCATAATCCTGTCTTAAATCTCAAATACATTTCTATAATTTCCTTATTTGTTATTTTGATATATGATTTTGTAATTAGGTTATTCAATCCTGTTGTCTACTTAAACGTGAATATTATCTAAAAATATATGACTAATAATAATAAGAATATTGGATCGTTATATGGCGCACATATCCACCCTGCAAAGTGCTCAAAGCGCTCCAATATTACCCCGGCTCAGCTAGGCTGCCGAATTCGGTGCTCACAGCATTCAAGGAATTCCTTCCTACCGATCCCCATTTACTTCACCTGGGTGGAGTGTGGCAAGTGTAGATCAATGTCTTGCCAACTTCATAGCGCGTTATTTCATATACTTGTAGATATAATTAGTTCCTTGATCTGTTCTTTGTCGGGGTCTGTGATTATGTAAATTTTGTTTGAAGTACTTCGAGAATCCATTCTGGGTTGTACTGCCTTATATAAAGCATTTACTATTTTTTGAATTATTATTATTATTATTAGTATTATTATTATTATCATTATCATTATTATCATTATCATTATCATTTTTATTATTATTATTATTATTATTATTATTGTAGTCAATATTATTATCATTATTGTTCTTGTTGTTATTGTAATTATCATTATTATTATTAGTAGTAGTAGTAGTAGAAGTAGTAGTAGTAGAAGTAGTAGTAGTAGTAGAGTAGTAGTAGTAGTAGTAGTAGTAGTAGTAGTAGTAGTAAATAGTAGTAGTAGTAGTAGAAGTAGTAGTAGTAGTAGTAGAAGTAGTAGTAGTAGTAGTAGTAGTAGTAGTAGTAGTAATTGTAGTAGTAGTAGTAGTAGTAGCAGTAGTAGTAGTAGTAGTAATAGTAGTAGTAGTGGTAGTAGAAGTAGTAGTAGTAGTAGTAGTAGTAGTAGTAGTAAATAGTAGTAGTAGTAAAAGAAGTAGTAGTAGTAGTAGTAGTAAATAGTAGTAGTAGTAGTAGTAGTAGTAGTAGTAGTAGTAGTAGTAGTAGTAGTAGTAAATAGTAGTAGTAGTAGAAGTAGTAGTAGTAGTAGTAGAAGTAGTAGTAGTAGTAGTAGTAGTAGTAGTAGTAGTAGTAGTAGTAGTAATTGTAGTAGTAGTAGTAGTAGCAGTAGTAGTAGTAGTAGTAATAGTAGTAGTAGTGGTAGTAGTAGTAGTAGTAGTAGTAGTAGTAGTAGTAGTAGTAGTAGTAGTAGTAGTAGTAGTAGTAGAGGTATCATCATCATCATAGGTATGGCATACATTACAACATACGTTATATATGAAAGCAATTACATCCATGTGCCTTCATCTGGATTAGACTCTCGCTAGAAACATCAATGGGTTCACGTCTATTAGTTTATTGATTAGACACGTGGCTATTAATATATTATGTGTCCAGGATTATGACTACACAATACATGACTTAGCGGATCTCACATGGGCAATTGAGCGTACGGCTGTGGGGCTGGGGGCTGCATCCCGTAGACGAAATGATAAAAATGTTCTTTCACCTCACGTGACGGAGGGGGTCATTCTGTCGCGTGCCTTTTTTCTGTCGTTGATCATGTGATGAGTGAAAGCACGTGATCATATATGTCGTATTATAAACTGTCTTGCTCAAACCATGATTTTACTCGATTTGCCTACAGAATTTAAATCTTGCTGAATTCATATTTGATTTATTTATTGAAATGCCTTATTATTCACTATATTTTGTTTATTTGTTTCTTCACGGAAGGTGTCAATTTTCCGAAAATCACTTGCTGTAAAATCCTTTGTCTGCTATTTATTTACATGTTCATGCACTGTGTCTTTCCGTTGCGTTATTATTAAATATTTCTACTGTTTAAAATGGCATGTACCTTCATCGTCAAAGCTATTTCAGAGTTAGTCTTATAAAAAGTTGAGATTGATCTAAATCAATCGCAAGTCGTCCAGTCAATCGTAAGTATACAGTCTGTTATCTCGAATGTAAATAGTTGCAATTGATATCAATCGCGAGTAAGATGCGATTAATCGCACCTGTTTATTAGACGGGGCCCAGATCTGTAGTAATACAAAACATAGAGGGTGGGGGGGGGGGAGAGAAAGAGAGAGAGAGAGAGAGAGAGAGAGAGAGAGAGAGAGATGGCAAATATGCGAGTGGCGTGGAGTAAAAGTGAGAGGGATAGAGAGAAAAAGAGAAAAAAGAGAAGTTGGAGAGGGGTAAGAAAGAAAATTATTATAATAAATATATGATAAGTAATATTAACACTAGATAAAAAGGCTTGGGGGAATGGGTGACCGAGTAAAATGTGAAATAAAAATCGAATTTCAAAATGTTCTCGTTATTTCTCACATTTCAAAAGGGAAGAAGAAAAAAAAAATCATCAATAAAATCCACCCCCCCCCCCAAATGATTTATTAATACTTAACATTTTTCCTTTTTTTTTAAATGTGGCCTTCCAAGGTAACTTTGTATGTAGTTTTGTATTAACATCATCATGTTTTGTGCAAAATGTATCCTAAAACTTGAAAAGGAAAGATGTTCTACTTTTAACATTGACCAATTTTGTTATCAAAGCTAACTTGTTCGGGAAAATATTCAATGCCTTTTACTAGACACTTCGTTGTTTCAGAATAGTAACCTCAGAGACTTGAACTCTTATTCACTTCGCCAGAAATCGATGGGTTTGAAATCGGAATTGGCAACTTTATAAATGATGAGCAATCCAGATTGATGGCAAAGCTCAAACACTTTTACACTCTCCCGACACGCCTACACATTTTGCTCAAGATTACCGGACCAGGAAATTGAATTGTACTTTGGCAACATTAGCAGATCCGTTTTGAATAAAGGAAATTGTTTGAGCATATATACCGCATCTTTGTCGGAAACAATTCATTTGGGATCGCGCCCGACTGCCTCAGTAAAAGATATGACCCGTCCTTCTTTTCATCTCTACCAAGTACCAGCGTGACCAGGGGGATGTTTCACAAAGATCCTAAGTTGAACTTATCTCTAAGTTGGACTTAACAATTATGGAAAGCCGTTAGAGCATTTATGAAAATGTTTTGTAGAAATAAAATGTTTACTCAAATCATTCATTTTTCTATTATCATGGAGATTTTATGTCCTGGATGTGGAATTTATAAAAAGTCTAAATACTTGAATTCATTTTTATTTTAAGGCTACAAATGGCTCTCCATAATATATAAGTTCAACTTAGGATCTTTTTGAAACACCACCAGGTGGAACATGACTTTGACGGTTCTAGGGGATAGGGAGGGGAGGGTGGGCACCCCGCCCCCCCCCCCCCCATGGGTGTGTTCTGTCAAAACGTACTTTTTTCTTACTATAAAACAAAAAAGTACAGGTGCAAGCATACCAGTAGTTTCATCGTTCTTGTATTGTGATTATCCCTGCTAATATTTAAGTCCTCATCATTGTTATTGGTATGAGGATCAAGCCATTAAATTGTTTTTTTTTAAATATTTGCGTTTTATTTCTGTGGTGCATTACCTTCTCACCACTCTAATTGCCCTTTACGCATCTATCTAAAGGGTTTAAAGATTGTAACCAAAATGGTTTTAAGGCGTACAAATATAAAACGCACGAAAAAAAAAATCCAGTTTCATTGTGACGTATTTTCAAGGAGAGAGGAGTCACGTGACTTATGACGCAAATAATTTTAAATCGTAGTTAATTAATGACGGTAAAGGATAGAAAACAAAAATAACGCTTGCCTTTTGTTTAATCAACTGCAATAATATTAATTAGAGACATCGTTTAAATAAATTCATAGACCGGAATAAATCCCTATACATGTACAAGACAATCAATTATTTTACTTCTTGATTAAGAGCGGGGTGGTAATTGATGGTACACCTACGCAGTTTGTACTAAGTGTTATTCTACACCATGAAAAACAGGTGAGGAAAACAAATATAGAATATTGACATGAAATTCAAATAAACAGTAGTTGGAAAGTAATGGAGTGTAAAGAATATAAAATGAAAGAAGAACTATTTTGAGATGTTTTATTTTGTACTTTTAGTTACAGACTAGATTTCATCAAATCTAAAGACAGGAATTGCAGACTCAAAATCTTGATCTTGCGATCTTCTTGCAATCTTCTAAAATCATCAGAACATGAAGAAAAAAAAGAGAAAGATCAGATTAGTGGGAAGGAAAAACAGATAAAGAGAGAGAGAGAGGGAGAGAGAGAGAGAGGGGGAGAGAGAGGGGGAGGGAGTGAGATAGAGAGAAACACACACACACACACACACACACACACACACGCATATGACAGAGAGAAAAAGTAGGGCAAGCCTAGGGGTCACATCTATATTTTTTATAGTTATTAGAATACAAATACCCGGCAAAGGGCAATTACCCCAGATTGTTTTATAGCTCCAAAACACGCTTCACTATATCTCAAAATATTAGTTTAAATCCTCCAGCTTATCCTTCCACACTACGTGTTCTAAAATTAGAATTAAAGTAATCAACTTTCTGTTATCATTGGTGGCAAAAATAAGTCGCTTTTAGCACGGGTGTATTTGTAAATGTTAACGCGTCGCCTTCTCTAATTTTGAGATTAATTTGTTTGCATTTAAGCAAGCAATCTACTCCAATACAAAAAAAGTATTAATAGTACATACACAGCAATTTATGACGCAGTTTCTCAATATTGGTGTTTAACATTTGGATGTCTGATAAAAAGAGGTGTCATAAAATGTCAATTGTTGTTTTCCAACAGGGTTATATTTAGGAGGCGGTATATGTGACTCAATTATCCAGAATATTGCATATTATCCATTAGTAAAAACAAATTAATTACAATTTCAGTGGATATATTCTTGTTATATTGTTCATTTCCCCCCAACAAATGCGTTGTTTTAATATTTGTATTCTTTTACGCGCTCTGTTGAGGTCTCTCTTTTTTGTTGGATTTTCTCCACCTGCTTAATAACTCGAAAATAATTATGTGAATGAACAAAACAAAACAAAACAAAACTTAAAGCCAGACAAACAAAAACAAAATAGTGGTCAATGCTCAACATATCCAATTAATCTGTCCAAAAATATATCTCCGATTTTTCCACTACAGAATATACCGCCATTAATTAGTTTTCTTTATCCATGCTCTAGATAAAAAGTGCATGTTTTCGTTACCACAAAATCAAAATGTATTCGTTTTGTAGATGACGTGATTTTTTTACTCCGAGTATCCTATCTGCGCATGTAAAGTGGCATGAGTATTTTAAAGTTTAAATTCCAATGACATTTGAAAGATAATTCTAATTTAGAAATTCCCTAAAAAACAAAAGGGATTGAAAATGTCTTTTTGTGGGAAATTAACGACTGTTAGTTGTCGAATCGAATTAAGCGATCGCGGTCGTTTAATTAAAAAGTCTGATTTTCATACCCTTGCACTGAATGGTCTTGTTTTGTGCTGCGCAAAGTTTCAATCATTTTAATTTTGGCCATTACAAGAAGTGGGTTATTGATGTAGGAAAATGCCCATGTACCCTTTACAGCTCATTTTACTATTATCAAAGAAAAAAAGATGTCAGTCAGTCACTCGATAGTGGCTGACAGTGAAGTCTAGAAGGTAAACTGGTTTCCTTGCATAATTTGAATACTAGGACACAGTTAACGTTTAAATTTAAAAGATAAGACATATATTCATAGTTCCTGCAAAGTTCTACAGAATCTGATGTTGGCTGCAAAAAGGAATACGCTACCTTTAAATTATTTGAGAAGTTGGCTAACTTAAAATTCACCCATGGGAAATTTAGCTGCCCCTTATAGTCTTAACTAAAATATCTTTATCATTATTTCTTTATTGCAACCAAAACTTAACGTTTGATTTCAAATATATATAAAAGTACAAACAAAAACAACGTTAGAAATAATTTACACACAGTCAAAGACAATGTAGTCTGTTTCTTAGCTATGGACTTAGTCTCCTTTGGTGCCTTTGAAACCTAACTCCACTTTATTGGAGCATTCACGTACATAACGTTAGTATATCTATGCTTGAAGTATTTTTTTATACTCTTAACTTAATAAAACTGACTTAATTTAAACTCCTTGAGAATGATAACTGCCCATGATTCTCCACTGGATCCCTAATTAATTTATTATTCTTAAAACATTTTGTTTTAGTTATCCTCGTATCTTAACTTAAAGCTCCCAATTATTTAAGTCTCCATATAGCTGAAGTAAACATTTATGGGAAACCCTATATTTAAGTTGATTCTCAAAGAATTGCACCTTCCTCAATGTAATCTTCTTGAATATGCTGGGTGCCCAATTAACTTGACTTCTTATTCCTCAGACTTTGACTAAATTAAGCTATTATGTCTATGTCATCCCATTTAGATCGATGTCTTATTCTTCATCGTTTTGTTTTAGATTTCCATGTATACCTTAAATCTGTGCGTGGCCAAGAAAGTATTAGTTTCGCGGATTTTCTGTGTAAAGTCTGTCGAGAAAAATTACAGAATGGCATGGTAAAGATTCATTAGTATAGCCTTAATTCTTACTTAAGTTATATCCTTTTTGTACTTTATCTGTACATTTCTACACTGTATACTGGAGATATATAATTTGTGTATACTTTATCCGTTCATGCCACTATCACAGTTTTACATAGATTTTACTGGTACTTATCTCCACAGTGATCAGGAAAAAAATAAAACAGCTGTCATGAACAAACGTACACAGTCATGTAGGATGAAACATCAAACCTCAAAGGTGACAAGATAATATAACCCTATATAATTCAACCTCATAACTCCCTTTTATATAATTTGCTTCCGGTTATGTTTGTTGCATCATGGGGCCCGTATGGAGAGGATTCAGGAAAAGTGTACAGGTTTTCTTTACTTTTATGGATAGCGACAGCTGGCAGTCGCGAAACTTAATTAGGCCTGTGGTTTTCCCCAATTGAAATCATTTCAAGTACTTCTCTTGGTGTTTGTTTTGATTTGTTTTGTTTTCTTCTGTCTTTTGTTTCATTTTTTGTCGATGCCTTCGTATTCGAAAAATTATAAAAAGTAGCACAATGCTTCTCAATGAAAGTAATTTTCAGCAATTCGGGTCGGTTTAACATTTTGATGATTCAAAGAAATAATTTTATTTTGTATTACAAGATCGAACTTTCCTAATAACTTCCTGAAATGTTTATATCGCAATACAATTTAATATCATGAAAATTATATTTATCTCATTTTCTTGTTTCCTATTCGGCAGAGGACACGCGAAATGGAGGAAGAGGACACATAAACCTTGATGATCAGTACATCCACGGAGAAGAACTCCACACACACCACCAATATAATCATGAAAGAATAAAGAGAACAATGGCTGAGCAGCCGCCCTTTTTACGAAACACCCCATCATCACACGCATCAGCGCCGTCATCACTCCTGACATCGTCGTCGTCGTCAAGATCAAAGTCCCCGCCGACGACGACGAACAGTAGAAATCCTGCTTTTAGCGAACTGTTGGCGCAGCTGTTGGGCAGCGCGGAGGACGGCGATGGTTCGCCGCCGGAGAGAGTGTCTCCGGAGAGGCTAGCTCTGTCGTCGTCATCGTTGTCTCTGTCGTCGTCGATTTCGTCGGCCCCGTCGTTACCAGGTGTTGCGTGTGCGTACTGTGTGCGAAGACCACGCCACGATACTATCGGTCATGGTAAGCTGTTGGTTTAAAATGATTTTCTTTATGTTAATTTCTGAAAGGCAAACGATCTTTGTTTATTTTTTTATTAAAGGGGAATCCAAACTTTGTAACACGCTACAATTTACGATATGAACATTTCAGTTGTCATGTTATCAAGGTGTTGGTATCCACAGACTTTAAATGTTTAAACTTGATACTACCCGAATGCTACTCTTACCTCTCCCTTTCTGTTTCTTTCTTTCTCTCCCCCCCCCCCCTCTCTCTCTCCCTCCCTCTCTCTCTCTTTCGCTTTCTCTCTTTGGCCGTCCGCTTTCCACTATGCATTATTCACATGTATATTTTTATGAACTTTTTTTAATTTTTTAATTTTACTTATGATGAGGATGTCAGCTAAAGATGTGCTTTATAGACGACCCCTTTTTCAATGTTTGATTTTATGTGATTAAACATGTTAAAAATATATGTATTTGTGATGATGTATAGGAACATAAAGTAACATCAATAAATCAATCAATCAATGGTCGAATAACTCGACAACCCGACACGACCCGAAGATTCGATGGAACGAAGTAATCCCTTTTCGCGCCCCTGTCAACAAAATCATTTGTTGGAACTTTTAGAATGGGAATCTGGGATTTTCCCTAAAGCAGCTGCCATTTTTTCTGGGCATTCTGGCACGACGGTGAAGCTATCACTTCCAAACCGCCAATATTGGTCAAAACCAATTAGCAATGTGTCAGATAACAGACGCCAGACAGACTACAGATTCGGGCATTTATTATGACGAACCACCCATGCACGTACTTTTGTCAAAATCTTTACTGCACAGTGTTCCTCAAAAACTACGATTCACATTTCACAGGTTCTATAGTATGACGAATATTTATCCCCCTCCATCCCCTTCGTTTAACTGCACTACTCTAGAATGTTATTCACGTTGTCTTTTGACTATGACGAAGCAGTCGTATGCTTTCTGCCAAATTTTAGTTTCAGGGTTAGTTTTTAAATGTGATCGATTTATTTTGTGCCCTAGGACTTCTCGGTATGATAAAAATAACTATAAAAGTTCCCTGCCTCAAACTCTACTGACCTGCGTTTCTTTTGAAAATTTTGAATGCCACTAATTTCGTATGTTCGGTAGGACGTAAACCTCATGCCCACTTTCTCAAACTCTAATGTCCTGCATTTCTCTTAAAAACTTTGAATGCCTTTCAAATTTTATTTCGTAGGTTGGTGTGACGAAAACCTATGCCCCCTTCCTCATACTCTACTATCCTGCGTTTCTCTCGAAAATTCTAAACGCTAAGTATTTTGTACGTTAGGTATGACTAAAATCCCATTCCCCTCATGAATGTCATTCAATTTCGTATGGTAAGAAGAAAAATAAAGACCCCCCCCCTTACAAATAATTGTTCTGCTGACTGCGTTCTTCCTGAATTCGATGAACAACTTTCATCATGATTATATTCATTTCATTATGTTAAAGAATGCATTCGTACATTCGTACATCTTGAATAATGCTTTCGTTCATTCGTTCATCTTTTAGTATGACCTTTCTAGAAATTCCATTTCAATGTTAACTGGCGCACTCTCTCTAAACTCTACCTTTTTTTCTGGGATACATTCTGGACTGCGTTTGAGTAGCAATTCTTATAATCCTAATTATATCAGGTCTCGCTGTTTCAGTATGATTGTCGGTACCAGGCGCGGATCCAGGATTTCTTAGGGGGGGGGGGGCCCAAATTTAAAATTATGCGAGCCAAATATTGGTACGTTATGGTGACCAACAGTGACGTAATGCGGGGGGGGGGCGAGTTTCCCCCTCCCAGGCTTTGACGTTTCATTATATTATTAGAGAAAGAAAACGATTCGTTGTACCGTTCTCGAAAATAATTCTCGTCTGAATTTAGTTTTTGTACAGTTCTCGACTCTTAATCCTTGTCTAAATTCAGTCCCCCCCCCCCCTCCCCCTCTTGCGCGAAGCGCGGAAGCTTTGACGTTTTATTAAACTATTAAAGGAAGAAGACGATTCGTTGTACCGTTCTCGAAAATAATTCTCGTTTGAATTTAGTTTTTCCCTCCCGCGCGAAGCGCGGAAAATTTTACGATTTATTAAATTATTAGAGAAAGAAGACGATTCGTTGTACAGTTCTCGACTCTTAATCCTTGTCTAAATTCAGTTCCTCCCCCTCCCCCTCCTTCGCGAAGCGCGGAAGCTTTGACGTTTTATTAAACTATTAAAGAAAGAAGACGATTCGCTGTACCGTTCTCGACCCTTTATCCTCGTCTGATTTCAGTTCCCCCCCCCCCTCCCGTGCGAAGCGCGGAAGCTTTTACGTTTCATTAAATCATTAGATAAAGAAGACGATTCGTTGTACCGTTCTCGACCCTTTATCCTCGTCTGATTTCAGTCCCCCCCCCCCCCCCCCCCCCTCCCGCGCGAAGCGCGGAAGCTTTTAATCTTCATTTAATCATTAGAGAAGAAGACGATTCGTTGTACAGTTCTCGACTCTTAATCCTTGTCTAATTCAGTTCCTCCCCCTCCCCCTCCTGCGCGAAGCGCGGAAGCTTCTACGTTTCATTATGTTAAAGAATGCATTCGTACATTCGTACATCTTGAATAATGCTTTCGTTCATTCGTTCATCTTTTAGTATGACCTTTCTAGAAATTCCATTTCAATGTTAACTGGCGCACTCTCTCTAAACTCTACCTTTTTTTCTGGGATACATTCTGGACTGCGTTTGAGTAGCAATTCTTATAATCCTAATTATATCAGGTCTCGCTGTTTCAGTATGATTGTCGGTACCAGGCGCGGATCCAGGATTTCTTAGGGGGGGGGGGGCCCAAATTTAAAATTATGCGAGCCAAATATTGGTACGTTATGGTGACCAACAGTGACGTAATGCGGGGGGGGGGGGCGAGTTTCCCCCTCCCAGGCTTTGACGTTTCATTATATTATTAGAGAAAGAAAACGATTCGTTGTACCGTTCTCGAAAATAATTCTCGTCTGAATTTAGTTTTTGTACAGTTCTCGACTCTTAATCCTTGTCTAAATTCAGTCCCCCCCCCCTCCCCCTCTTGCGCGAAGCGCGGAAGCTTTGACGTTTTATTAAACTATTAAAGGAAGAAGACGATTCGTTGTACCGTTCTCGAAAATAATTCTCGTTTGAATTTAGTTTTTCCCTCCCGCGCGAAGCGCGGAAAATTTTACGATTTATTAAATTATTAGAGAAAGAAGACGATTCGTTGTACAGTTCTCGACTCTTAATCCTTGTCTAAATTCAGTTCCTCCCCCTCCCCCTCCTTCGCGAAGCGCGGAAGCTTTGACGTTTTATTAAACTATTAAAGAAAGAAGACGATTCGCTGTACCGTTCTCGACCCTTTATCCTCGTCTGATTTCAGTTCCCCCCCCCCTCCCGTGCGAAGCGCGGAAGCTTTTACGTTTCATTAAATCATTAGATAAAGAAGACGATTCGTTGTACCGTTCTCGACCCTTTATCCTCGTCTGATTTCAGTCCCCCCCCCCCCCCCCCCTCCCGCGCGAAGCGCGGAAGCTTTTAATCTTCATTTAATCATTAGAGAAGAAGACGATTCGTTGTACAGTTCTCGACTCTTAATCCTTGTCTAAATTCAGTTCCTCCCCCTCCCCCTCCTGCGCGAAGCGCGGAAGCTTCTACGTTTCATTAAATCATTAGAGAAAGAAGACGATTTGTTGTACAGTTCTCGACTCTTAATCCTCGTCTGAATTCAGTTTCCCCCCCCCCCCCTCCCGTGCGAAGCGCGGAAGCTTTTACGTTTCATTTAATCCTTAGAGAAGAAGACGATTCATTTTACCGTTCTCGAAAATAATCCTCATCGGAATTTAGTTCCCCCTCCATCCCGCGCGAAGCGCATAAGCTTTTACGTTTCATCAAACAACCAAAGATTCGTATTATCGTTCTCGCCTCTGAATCCTCGTCTCAATTCAGTCCCCCATCCCCCTCCTCCCCTCCTGCGCGAGGCTTTGACGTTTTATTATTAGAGAAAGAAAACGATGCGTTGTACCGTTCTCTATACTCTTTAATCCTTGTCTGAATTTCAAAGAGGTGGGGTCGAGGCGGCGGAGCCGGCCCCGGAAGCTCAGGGGTTTTAGGCGTTTAATTAAGGTCAGATGAGCATATTTTTGTGTATACCTTATTATTTTGTGACACTGGCAAGTCACTATTTGGCGTGGGGTCCAGGGGGCGGAGCCCCAAAAAATCATGGGTTTTAGGCATTAAATTACCGTCAGATGATCATCTAAGCCTAGATGGAATCCAGGGGGCAAAGCCCCCGGAAGCTTAGGGGTTTTAGGCATTTAATCACGGTCAGATGAGCATATTTTGATGCCTCGAGGCTCTCGATCCCCGCCGTACCTCGGGCCCTGACATGTAGGAATCTCAAGAATCATATTTTTTGCCTGGTTGTAAATTTAGGAATTTTTTTATTTTCCAACAAACACATACAAACGTATAATTTACTAAAAAGTGAGGAAAAATTTCGGAAATTATGTCATTTCAGCATTATTTGTAATACACCGTTGTGGAATCAGAAATAAACCACGTTTGAATTTGATTTCCCCCAAGCCCCCCCCCCCCCTTTATCAGTACGCCAGTATCTCCTCTTTTCCTTTTTTTTCTTTCCCTTTCCTTCCCTCTCTCTTATTTTTTTTTGATTGGGGGGGGGGGGGGTTAACAGCCTGGGAGGCAAGGCCCTTTCGGCCCCCCGATCTACTTCTTCCCCCTTTACTTTTCTTCTTCCTCTTCTTTCTTTCCCTTTTTCTCCTTTTTCCCTTTCTCCCTTCTTTTCCTTCTTCTCTTTTTTTTTTTTTTTTTTTTTGCGGGGGGGGGGGGCCAAGGCCCGCTCGGCCCCCCCCCCTGGATCCGCGCCTGGTCGGTACGCATTTAATAGGTTGATGACATCATTCGAAATTTTTGATAATCGTTTGGCATAATCATTTCGTCAAATGTCAAATGGAATATATTTTGTAACTATCACGCAAGTATTTACTGCAAAAGGAGATACCTATGGCAAAGAAGATAATTACTGTTACTATATATATATAATTCTAGCAAGGAAGGAAACAATGATGAGGGTCGTTCACATGTGTCATCCAAAAATAAGCGTTAACAAGTGTAGATTAATCTATTTTAAATCAGGTCACATACGCTCCTTGATCTATTTATACTTTACGAAAGTACAGTGCCCCCTCTCCATCCCCTACCTGGATCCGCCACTGCAGTTAAACATGAATCGCCCGTGATGATTGAAGAGAAGGTTGAGTTCTGGGAAGAAGTGAAAAATAATTTGTACGCGTTATCATTGTTATTATGCAAGGGTGGAAGAACATCAGATAAAACATGTTCCCTGAAAAGCATGGCTCTTCAAATGCCTACATATTCTAAATATGGCATGTAACATCGTAAAAATCGGGACGGATTTTTACGCCACGTGTTCGTGTAGTCCCATATGTACATCCTTCTGTGTACAGTGCTTGTAACTTTACCAAGACTTGGCCAAATTTCTTATCATTTTGATGATTTCAGAACCTTGTAATACACACGAATACTTATATGCTAGATGATCAACCTTTTCTGATAGATTCCACATCGTTTCTTTTACAATGCAATCGCATGACCAGAACTCAACTTTATCATTAAGAGAAAATTGAATAAGCAAAGTATACTTTACATTTGGCTACATGATTTGGTTTGATTTGTTGGTTTCTTTTACCTGACTGTTAAAAAGGCATGACTGTATGCTTTGTAATTGAGCAACCAGGGGACTAATGACTTCAAGTTCTCTCCGAGGGACTTGGTAGTGAGGGTTAATGCCTTACCAAAGGGCACTAGCGCATCGACTTGGTTTCGAACCCGAGACCCCTCGGTTACGAGACCACAGCCCTATCTCTGAGCCAGCGCGCCTAGAAATAAGAGTTTTATTTTTATTTCTATGAATTCGTTTTACATTTGAATTCCAGTCCTTTTTTAAACATTTATTCTAATAATGAATGACTAATTGTCACCTGATGAATTGAGGGATAAAACCTTATACCACTTTGTATTTTACTTCAATGCCATTCAAATTTTGAATGATTTGTTTTACTTCTCATAAATATGTATATGTTTCATTTAATATTTCTGCCATAGAGGTACGTCGTAAATCATAATGCCTTATATCATTAATACGATTTATATTGACTTGTTTGTATCATCATAGATACTAACGGCGATGAGATACAACTCGATGTAGGCACATGTCGAAAAAGAATCCGCAAGAAGCTTCGGAGCCAAGATTCGTCTCGCCACCGAGTGAGTACACTGTTATATGTGTTCAAGAAAAACAAAAATCAGACCCAAAATGAAGTTGATAAGAATAACCGCAAAAATCAGAGAAACGGCTATTGGTTTGATTGGAAATTGAATAACAGATAGTTATGCCCATTTTCAAGGTAAAAAGGTTAAATGGAGACAGAGAAACTGTGATAAAATTCCTTCACTATCTATCATATTTTCTTGCATTTTTTAAATATATATCATGGAATTGACATCGAAATCCCCTTTTCCCCATACAAATAATATTAACATTACTGCACTAACGTACATAATAATATATAGAAATAAATCTTATCGTTTATGCAATGTGAAAAGACGAACTTTTGATACATTATTTTCTCTCAGTATTTAAAATTATGTCGGAGATTTGAGCCTATTATTCATGTTCAGTTTATATGTACGTACTAATAGGGTGCTACCTAGACAGAAATAACCGTCTGATTTGGGTCATTTCTTTAATAAAACTGACATTTGTTGATATATGATCGGATGTCTAGTGGAGCCAGACGTAGTCTCAGTGGAACAACCGACGATTAGAGAGACTGAGGTTTTCGGTCTAGGTGCTACCATGAAAATTCTCTCAGCGCTTATGCTTGTACTGTGAAACCTGACTATAAAGACCATCCAAGGGAGACAAGAAAAGTGGTCTTCATAGGCAGGTGGTCTTTATGTACATGTTTCAATGAGAAATCCTTTTCAAGGGAAACAAAAAATGTGATCTTTGTAGACAGGTGGTCTTTGTAGACAGGAGGTCGTTAAAGCAGTTTTGACTGTATTACATTAGTTATCCACTCTGTTATTCCAACAAGCTCCGATTCTCCACACCCTCTTCCCATGCAGTGTTCAACGTGTGGCCCTTCTTACATGTGCGTGCCGAGCAATAGTCTCATGGAGAGGGCTCATCTACCGACGGGGAGCAGCGAACACCGGGTCATCGTCAACTGCACCTGCCAAGAGCGCAGTCCGCCTCGGTGTGTGCGGCGACCTCACGTCGTCACCTTCTCGCCGAACTCACGCTACGAAACGTCCATCGATGTCGGGACATGCGAAGGCGATTGCCCGGGAGGTAAGGCATGTCGGTGAAGAGTCAGAAACATGGTATAAGGTAGTGGACAGACTGAGTTAGGATGATAGGGGTAAGATGACAGAGAGAAAGAGAGAGAGAGAGAGAGAGAGAGAGAGAGAGAGAGAGAGGGGGGGGTTAGGTAGATAGAGAGAGAAAGTGAGATGAAGAGAAACAGAAAGAGAGAGAGAGAGAGATAGAACGAAAGAGAAAGTCGACAGAGGTAGGCGAGGATCGATATGGCGTCGAGAGGGGTGAGGAGATGTAGAGAGTGTGCCGAGAAGGATAAGATACGCGGCCGAGGAAGGTTAGGAGGGTGTCGAGAAGAGATGGAAAGTTCTAAAAAGTACTAGAGGGCGTCCATGGAAAGCATTTTTTTTTTTACTGACTGTACCTGCCCTCTATTTTTAATAAAACTTGAATAAATAAATAAATAAATATGAAGTTGAGAGAAAATGACGGATGACGAAAGTGAGAGGGTGTCGAAAGAGAGAGGATGTTGAGAGGGGATCGGATCGTGTCGAGAGTAGGATGAGGGAGTCAAGGGGGTTGGGCATGCGTTGAAAGGGATAAGAAGGTGTCGAGTGTGAGGGGGCGTCGAGAAAGATGCGGGTGGTGTCGAAAGTGTCGAGACGGGCTATTATAGGGTGTAGAGAGAGAGAGAGAGAGAGAGGGTGCCGAATATGAGATGGTGTCGAGAAAGATGCCAGTTGTGTCGAAAGTGTCGAGAGGGGCTATTAGAGTGTCGATACAGAGAGAGATAGAGGGTGCCGAATATGAGAGGGTGTCGAGAAAGATGCCAGTTGTGTCGAAAGTTTTGAGAGGGGCTATTAGAGTGTCGATAAAGAGAGAGATAGAGGGTGCCGAATATGAGAGGGTGTCGAGAGGGGTTAGGGATGTGACGACAGTGAGAGGGTGGCGAGAGGGGTTTGGAGGGTGTGGACAAGGGAATGTGAAGGAAGACTTCATATCTTCTCAAAGTATATAAAGCTGCCATTTTACATCATCATGAATTCCAAATGACACTTTTGTTTCAGCATTAGTATTCTTTGTTTCTCTTACATGCTTATTTCTATTATCATCGTTAACAGAATCTGACAACTTTGGATGTAAACCAGTCACCAACAAGACAGTGGCATTTCGAGATCCAAATGGTAATTTTTGTTCTTCTGTTTCTCCTTGTATAATCATTTCACGGTTGAAAATGGTTATTTCCGGACATTTAACTGTCCACATTCATATGATCCTCAGCCACCGATCCTTACTTTCCCTACATCATGTTTCATGAAGCACGGAACACGATGGATTAGCATGAATATATACAAATGCATTTCGACCATAGGTAGACCCTAGTTATAAACGTTTAGTGAACAATAGATTTATTATACAATAATTGATGATTTATAATATATCATAACTTTAGTAATCTTTGGCATTCATTCTCCCTGCCACGATAATCGTCATTCATCCGGAAAAAACCCCAAACAAAATGGTCGGAAACGTTTCTTCTCATTATATTTTTACCACTACATGTGTTTTCACCATACCACAATAAAATGACATTCGAGACCACTATTCACCGTACTGTACTCCAGTTATGCTGCTGGTTTTTCAAATTGCAATAATGAGAGCTTTATCTTTCCTTTCCGTTCTTTGCCGATAGGCGCCCGCACCGTCGAGACGATACAAGACTGTGCCTGCACATCCGGGTGTTTTCGGGCAACACATATGGAATCTATCTATGCTCTAAAATGGAATTCTACAGCCAATCAAACACAAGTCATGTCTGTGGTACGTCAAACAACAAGAAAATAATTCATCACATTCTATTATTCGCTTTATTTCATAATTTTCATTCGATATCAATCATTATTAATGTATTAATTAATTATTACGGATTTTATTTTATGTGTTAACTGTGTGAAAATATAATTGTACTGGTACATCAACACAAACCGATGCAAAGAGCACTTTCATTGTTCTTTTTCTCTTTAACACGCCTCGCGATTAATCTTTGGTTCAATTTGTTTTTACAATTGGAAAATATGTCACTGACTAGTAAGAGAACTTTGAAATTAATTTAAATTTAAATTAAATTAATTACTGATTACGCTCTGTGCGTGGAACTTCTAATATTCTTTGAATATGCTCTCAGATTATAAAGTTGATTGTAAACATTTATAGAATGATAAGATTGAAAAAAGTTATCAAAATGTTATATTTATTGTTTTTCAGGATTTGGATGTTGGTAAATGCGTTGGGACCTGCCCTCCGTCTGAACACTGCGTCATACCGTAAGTATTCTCGAAGGGTTTTCACTTTAAAGGGCCCCTGCCATCCAAAGGCAAGTGTATTCATGCTGGTGCGTAGTCCTGCATACATCTCATATTTTGATATGTAAACTTTTGAATGTGTTTCATAGATTTTTTAATATTTGTTGAAATGTTTTTTCTTCAAACTTGCAAAGCCCCACCCTAAAATCCTCCAGTTCTCATTCCCCTTGTTTTATCATCTGTCAGTCATCAATGAGCTAACTTGAGAAAATGGCATGTAACTTTGCCAAAGTTTACCACCTGTTACAATACGTCATACAATAGCAACATAAAATTTGCTATGCCTATTGTGTGATTAAGCAGTAATGTTCATAACCATGGGTGTCGATCCGTAACTGATACCTATTCATCGGGGGGGGGGGAATGATCTATTCATTCATCCCCCCCCCCCCTGATGAATAGGTACTACGTAAGGATCGACACCCATGTTCATAACAACACAGAGGACCTGGGTTTTTGTGTCACATCTTTATTGTAATATGATTTGATTTTTATGTATATTTTGAAAACAAAGTATGACTGAATAAAGATGATCAACAATCAATAATTATTCATTTATTTATTCATATTATTTATTCATATCATTTCATGTTACTTATCTATTCATTAGTCACTAATTTATTCATGTATTCATTTATTCATTTATTTATCACATCTTTATCTATCCATATGCAGAGGAGAACGCGGAATCTGTATGATGGCTCTCACAGTGCCCTCAACGTCGTGTAATGCCAAGTCACGTCAGGAACACATCTTCATCCTCCCAAATGGACGACGCCATTCCATCTATTCCATCACCGACTGCTCATGCCCCTCATCGGACAAGACATAGCCAATCGAAATCGTTGCTTGTCGCTTGTTCTCCTATTGGCGAATCGGAGGGGTGCATGAGACGGGTGCCCCCTCTACCCTTTCTAATGGAGACGACATTCTACTATCATCGGTCAAAACATAGCCAGTAAGAATGGTTGCTTCTCGATTGTTCCCCCTTCGGCGAATCCAGGGGGTGCAGGTGATTCGTGCCCCTTCTATTGGTTGTTTTATTACATGACATTGTCTTCACTGATTTTAAAGATTATTTTCTTCTCGCAGAGGGCAGTGATTTTATCTCCTTCATGAAGCAAAGATTTGATTGCGCCCTCAACGCGTGGCAAACTTCGACTAAACTTCGTATATAGATGGCTCTGGGCCTTGGCATAGGTGCGTGTCACCTTTTCAACAAAAAAAAGTATAATGCCACCTTAACTATTCAAAACTGCAAGTACAGACTTTCGCTTTCCCGGAACTATCAAAACGTAAGAAATAAGATGTGCTAGTATTATTTGAAAGGAGATACCTGAAAAATCAAACCACTAATCCCTACAACAGTTTGGTAATTTATGCAAATTGATTCATGATCACCTTGGAAGCCCCCGACGAATATTTGAACTGTTGGATATTTACATTACCAGTGTCTATTGGTAGGAATAATATGCTTTACGTTGAAAATAGTGTAAATATGGCGTTCTTGTCGAACATTGTTAACAGAATTTAGAGTATAATTTTCTCTGAATAGATTTAAAATATCATTGATAACTGTCGAAACAAATCAATTCAATGTCAGTTGTATTAGTTTATGAGGTCATAGGGTCATATGAATTTGATTGACAGGGATCATAATTATTGTTGTGCAATTCCATATGTGAATGATGTGTATTTGTGTGAAAGTGTTGATGTAATCCTAGCTGAGTATATATATATATATATTTATTTTTCTTGTATACTAGAAATTGTATATTACTATATATCTGCATTAGTTTGCGTCTGTATTGTACGAATAGTAATTTTGTTTCGAATGGTTTAAGAAAAGATATGGAATTTTAGAATAACTGAAATCTTACTTAGGCCTATCTTCAAATGATTTTGTCATATAGTTATTGTATTCTTTCGTTTTAAATAGATTTTAAAAAAGCATGGACTAGGCTATTTTTAATATCATAATTATATTCAGCAGAATATTGTTAAGTTTCGGGTATCATGTAGGCTACATGTCGTGTCACTTCGATTGCGATATTCCCTGCGCCAATTAAGATTGTGATAGCAATGTGCTCATGCTCCGGTAATTTAACGCAATGTTTGCACCGCGTGTCAAAGACCGTATCGTCATTGACGCAGCCCTGCGTTAGTACAATGACACAGCGCTACGTCAATGAAATGACGTGTTGTGTGCAGCAGGCATTAGGGACTTTTAGATTTACACGACGAGAGCGTGGACTGCCGCGTATGACATTGTGTTAAGGCACTGGGCAGTGCCCGGCAGTGCCTTAAAAGGACGTCACATTACCTTAAAAGGATGTCACACGTGGCGGTAAATCGAAAGTCACTATTGTAAGTAGACAACTACAGTCGTACTCCTTCTCTATTATGAGCGCATGTTGCTCATGGTAATGGGTATGAAACGATTTTACTCCTCAGCTGCAACGCTGTTTACCAATATTTCATGTACTAAATACAATGGCATTTGTCGTAATATCTTCATCAAATTACACTTATAATTCGTAATTTTATTACCATTACATACCTCTTATCAATCTGTTCGTCCACTTCAAGACTTAATACCTCACTTTTGTAGCTATTGTACAAGATAATCAGGGATTTATTTTGCCTGAATGATTTTAATTATGCCTTTGCAGAGCACTAAAATGCATCCGAAATTGTGGTACATATTTTGGCTCAGCATTCTTCACACATAAATTTATTTATTTATTGTTAAGTTTTATCAAGTTTTAAAGAAAGGAGTGTGTTCATGATAGAAGCTGTTTGCGCCATAACTAATATAAGCAACTTCTCTTGCATGACAAAATTTGTTTGAGTTAGTAAGCTCCAGGGCCAGTTTCCCGAAAACATTATAATCATAGCTCTTGTAAGAACGACAGTTTTGAGAAATTGCATGGACCAGTCATTTTTTTCGGACCTACGATTTCTTGGGACTAGTCGAGCGACCATGGCAAGTCAAATAATATTTTCGGCTATTTCAGCTGAGAAAGTCATAATATAAGACAAGCAAAATAATTGCCGTCAACTCATAGCACTATTAATCTCACGACTGTCGTAAGACTGGCTATGAACATTATTGTGCTACTCGTGCCGACTGATTGTGACAAATCGTGACTGGTTGCGACCGTTCTTGGCCATTTGTGCGACTATATGCAGGCGCGTACACAGGGGGGGGGGGGGGTTAACCCCCCCCCCCTTGGGTATTTTTCTGTGTGTCAACCCCCCCCCCCTCAACCACCCTAAACCCCCCCCCCCTTGCAATTTTTTTTTTTAATTTTTTTTTGTATCAAAAAAATAAATTAAATAAAAAATATTCCCATGGCTGACCTAAAAAAGTTGACCTAACCCCCCCCCCCCCCCCCAACGGAGCAAAATGTCAAATTCTCAAATTTCGAGACAAAAAGAAAGAAAAAGTGTCCTCTTACCCCCCCCCCCCCCCCCCCCCTGAGTCGTTGCGAAATTTTCGGCCCGATTTATAAATGTTAACCCCCCCCCCCCCCTTGAAAAAATATGACTATATGACTAGTCATGCAACCAGATTCATTCAAACGGCAAGTCGTACACGTAGTCGTGGTAAATCGGGTGACTGTTCACGAGACTCTTGCGATCAGCTGAGACGATAAAGGACTTCCAAAGACTTTTGCCTTAACTAGGTTTTTAAAATAATAAGAAATACAAGTCTTTACGGCGACTTCGGTGGGATTATCTTAAATTACCAACGACTATCCGAACCATGAACACCAAGTACTTGTGCCTGCGATTTTAGGCGCAGTTAAACGTCAAGATGGGGCTGAGGTTAATTGTCTGACACCGTTAAACTGTATAATCCATTACACAGTAATATTTACAAAGTCACCCTATATAAACTCACATCTATAAAATGCTAAATCGTTGATAGGGAATAGAATAAGGAGTTACTTCCATCACTCAAAATATTTATGGAAGATAGACAAAATGCTTGCGCCCTCCTGGATTAAAAACTACACACAACAGCTCTGTGCACTAATTATGGTTTTACCATGACAAGTACTTAATCTAATTTATTCGTATTCTTTCCTCATAGACATTACTTGTGTATTCTGCTTTTTACAAAAAGTATATTTTGCGCGGTGTACTAAGTGTGCGCATGCGTGGTTTTGTGGTGATGCTGTATAATTATGTGCTGGATTGAGTTTGCTAATAGTTGTTGTATATGAATTTATGTACTATTGTAAAGGCTTGATTATTAGCATGTGTGTATAGAAATTGATTGGTATGTATGAATTGTGTTGCTATGCATAATCTATCTGCATTATGATGTATTCAATATGTGTGGCCGCTCTCTTACTATGGAAACTTGACTTTCAATGGTATGATAAGTGACTTGGCTGTGAAAAAAAAATCATTAATGTGGAAAAGAAAAGAAAAGTGTGAATGATGTCATAAATTATTATGATGAAAGGTTGTGAGCTTTTCATGTAGTAGGACATAGTGATGAATTCATTCTTTCTTTGCATTGTGTAATAGAAGTTTATGATACATATTGACTCTGTTATATTATATCAAGTACGTGTATAATATTTATAGCTATGACTGTGTTACGTGTATTATATGATATCATTGTATTGTATATCTAAATTATAAATATGCCGTCGTGAATTAGCAGTGCAGTAGTACAAATAAAATGTATCGATATTGACTTCATGATATGATATGATATGGTATTATTCTTAGTTAATTTCGTTGTCTCTTTCTATTTTTATCTGTTTTACAACAATAAATTGATAATAATAATAATAATAATAATAATGATAATGATAATGATAATGATTATAATTATAATATTAATTGTAACGATAATAATAGTAATTATGTTAATAATAATGATAATGATAATAATAATAATAATAATGACAATAGTAATGATAATAATGATAATGATGATGATGATGATAATAATAATAATAACAATAATAATATTTATTTTTAAATAACAATAATGACAATAATAATATATAATAATAATAATACTGAGGATAATGATAATCATCTTTATCATAATATCGCATGATACTGCACAGTCTTTTTTTCAGTTTACAGTTTGATGAGATTAGCGATAAAGCCACAAGGTTATTAAATTGTTATTTATCTCCCGATTTCTGCAATCCAAACCCCAAAGAAATTTAAATCTTTTGTTGTTATTGCATGAATGTAAATTATAAAATTAGTTGATTTGAAGAATTGAAACACAAAGAAATAAAGATTTTGTTAATACAAGATACATTTGTAAGTGACTGAAACGAAGAAAGAACGAAAGAAAGAAAGAAAAAATAAAGATAGGAAGAAAAAGAAAGAAAGAAAGAAATGAAGGAAAGAAAAAAGAAAAAGGTGAACCGTAATTAATGATAGAATGGATGAAGGATGATTGAAAGACTAAAAGAAAGAACGAGTGACTGCAATGAATAACAGAATACACGAATAATGATTAAATTAACGAACGGATGAATGAAAGAAAGAGAGAGTGACAGTCATGAATGAAAGATGGATGAAGATTTCGCATATTGGAAGACTGAGTGACTAAAACGTGACGCATGAATGACTGGACGAATGAATAGAGAAATTAGAAACAGATAGATATGATGCATAGTTGAATCAGTGAATGACTGTTCCCTTGATTTGATGAATCACTCTACGGATTAATTTATTGCGACCTTGATCTTCACGATCACAAGCCAATTTTGTTTTCAATTTCTAAAAGTAATCCCCTTTTCTTCCGTTTATAATCTGTTTACGCCACATGATTTGTAAAAGCACTGTCATTTCACTCTCGATGTTTGTTTTCAATTTCTGAAAGTAATCCCCTTTTCTTCCGTTTATAATCTGTTTACGCCACATGATTTGTAAAAGCACTGTCATTTCACTCTCGATGTTTGTAGACTATTATATTCCCTTTTCTATTTTATAATCTTTTTGAAAATTTATTTACATTTCCAAATGAGGGTTTAAGTTTATGTTATATTTTTTTTTAACACGTACTCAAATTTGATCAGATCCTGTCCAAATTTTAAAGAGGTCATCTAAATCCAATGTCAATTATCACTTTAAGGTGAAGAAATTGCCTTATTATTTCACATTACATACAGCGTTATACTTATTAATATAATGAAATAAAGTTTCACAGGTTGCACTAACTACAAGTGCACCCTAAAACCTTTGTTCTTCTTCAGAAAGGAGGATCATGTCAATTGAATTAAAGAACAGATCCGATTTCTTTTTCGGGACCTTTGATGGGTAAAACTAGTGAAAAGAAATTGTGAAGTGTTTTTTGAAAAGATGAAGGAATGCAAAACATTGTCACAAACCGAGTAGGTGCGATGATATTACCCCCACACCTGCGTGAAACACTTTTCTCTTCAAAGAGCTTCCCGCTACAAGCTTCAAGTTTCAAGTTGTCCTTCTGCAAATTCAAAGGAACAGATTAAAAGATTTTCGACGTATCTGTGAATGCTTTTTCCCTCTACACTTCAGCGTCAAAGCAAACGAAAAAACAATGCTCGTTTAATCTCCTCTTCGCTCGACTCATCACATTCTATTTCAAAGTATAACACCTGGTTGATATAATTACAGTAGTATGCTTGATGTGTAGTTACAATCATGAGTATATCCCCTTCAAGATTCGTAATCAGCGTGTAATCATTACTGTCATGACCACGGTTAATTCCTCGGCGTTTCACACTCACTTATGGATTCTGCTGTGTAAGGATGAAGTAGTAGAAGAAGCTAGAAATAAATCCAGTTATAAATATAGTTACATTCATTTGACATTGGTGACACAATTATTGAATGGCTAAATAGCTCTAATGAATGTAACAGTTTTTTTATCAGGGGCTTGTACTACGAGGATAAAAGTAGATCTTTTGCCCCCTACATCGAATGGTGAACAAAAATAAATAAAAGGCAGGGGGAAGAGATGGGGAGAGGAATTAGGGGGGAGAGAGAGACAGATATGATATGTAAGTAAATGGGAGACGGAGAAGTGGGTGATGTGAAAAGAAAATCGAACGACCCCCCCCCCCCCCCGTATCCCCTCACTCGAGAGCCTTGTTCTGTCGCATTCCATCCACCACTTACGGTGCCCCATCCTTTATCTTTATACCTGAGTTTGTCTACTTCACTGGTCATATTCTTGTAAAAAATGCCCACCCACCTTCATCCAAATTCCACCACACACTTCACTCGAAGATCTTAAAATATTGGAGTATTACCCTTTTTCCTCATTTTATTTGTTCTATTTCAAACATCTGCATGGAACAAACAATTCTGCCCTCGTTTGTGACAGTAAAACCACCCCGCCCCTCCGCCAACACATACACACACACCACCACCACCACCACCACTTACAAAATAGAACAGATAAACACCCCTTTTACACATAGCCGACAATCCACAATTGATCAAAGAAGAAGCACTTCTTCATGAGGAGTTGGTACGGTAGACTTCAAGTATCTTACGTCGAAATAACTTCAGTGCAGTCCGACTTTTTCGGCAGAGAGAGGAACAAATAACCAACACGTGCTCAACGAAAAGGCAGTCCTTTACAACAGCTCCTTTAAAAAAAAATCATTTAAAAACAATTGACCTGAGCACGACTCTTGATAGCCCTTGCCAACTTAAAATAGTTCAAGAAGCACATTTCCCGCCTTTTCTGTGACCGAAAAATATCCTTGCCATAAAAGAAGAGCATGCAAGAGCTCAGACGAAAAACGTAAAGTTTCTTCGGGGCAAATTAGAAGTTTGGCTACAATGTCATATTAATGGTCTATAACCAGATGATATTCATGAGTTCAAATTTCAATTAAAACTTCAGTAACGTAGTAACATTATCTTTAGTAGAAGTAGTAGTAGTAGTGGTAGTAGTGGTAGTAGTAGAAGTAGCAGCAGCAGCAGTAGTAGTGGTACGTGTAGTACTAGTAGATGTAGTTTTTGTTGTTGCTACTGCTGTTGTTGTATAGCAGCAGTATCACCAGTAGTAGTAGTAGTAGTAGTAGTAGTAGTAGTAGTAGCAGAAGTAGTAGTAGAATAAGCAGTAGTACTATAGTACTATAGTAGCAGTTGTTGTTATGTTTGCTGCTGCTGCTGTTGTTGTTGTTGTTTATAGTAGCAGCAGTAGTAGTAGTAGCAATAGTAGTAATAGTAGTAGAAGTAGCAGTAGTATTAGTAGTATCTTTTGTCGTGTTTGCTGCTGCTGTTGTTGTTGCTGTTGCTTATAGCAGCAGCAGTATTAGTAGTAGTAATAGTAGTAAATATATAATAGTAGTAGTAGTAGTATTAGTACTGGTAGAAGTAGTATTTTTTTTTAAACGTAGTATATACTGACTCAGATAATTTCAATTGCGACCATCCACAGCAAATTGCCATCCCCCCCCCCCCCCCCCCCCTCCTCATCGAATGACCCATGTGGTTTTACACCGTCAGGTGTGGACATTCCTTTGAAATAAAAACACCTGTCCTCGTTAAATTAATCTCAGAGTACAAAGAACTCAGAAAGGTGTGAAATATCGGAGGGGGGTTACAAGGCAAGTGTCAATCGATGGATAACAACAACAAACCGGAATCCATTGTGACAAGCTATCATAATGACGTGCCAATCACTTGCCCCCCATGCAACCTATCATCGTCTTGCCCTACTTCATCGTCAAAGGTTAGGTATTGACTATAACAAAAATTGAAGTATGATGACATAATGCTTTTACGTGTGAACGTCTGATTTTGTTTTCATTGATACAACTTCAGAGCTGCAACTTGTTTGGTATCACGATAAATTGTCACTGGCGGATTTGAGGGGTGCGTGTGGGGGGGGGGGGGTCGGCCCTTGCCAACTTGTAACCTTATCTTTAGTTAGTATAGTAGTATAACATTTATTTATTTATTCACGGTAAAAACTCACAATCAGTCAAAGCAGACTGCTTTTCAGCGAGTCCGTGCACATTGTAAAAAACAAACAAGTGAAATTAACAAAATAACATTGACAAACAAATTTAAAACAAATTTATACGTACAAAATATTTAAAACAAATGAAAATCCCGGAAAGAGAATTAAATTATATTTACCACATTGTGTGGCCCTCCATGAGAACACATAAGAATTGTCCTTCTCAATACCGTTTCGGCATTGTACCCCCCCCCCCCCCCATCCTCGGTGATATTGAACAATTCAGAATGAATTGTATTTGGAGTAAATTTCTACGACATTTCTTGAAATGATGTCGTAAAGTAGTGCCCTTGGCTTTTTATTGAGATTGTTCACCTTTTGAAAAACTAAGGACAAGGTGACATCCATAAGAAAATGCACCTGCATTTTGATTTCCACAACATTCTTTACTTTCAGGGTCACGAGTTTCCAGTGCAGAAAATATATCACACGAGATCAACGCAACACTTTAGGAAATGAAACCATGGGACGATAGATAGATGGATGGATAGAGGTAAAGGGGAAGAATGGTAAAGATAAATTAAAGGAGAGAGGGGGAGATAGAGAGACACTGAGAGAAAGAGAGAGAGAGAGAGAGAGAGAGAGAGAGAGAGAGAGAGAGGGTAAAGGATGGATAGAGGTAAAGGGGAGGAATGGTAAAGACAAATTAAGGGAGAGAGGGGGAGATAGAGAGACACTGAGAGAAAGAGAGAGAGAGAGGGAGGGGGGAGAAAAAAGGGAGAGAGAGAGGGCCGAGGTATAGAGTATAGAGAGTGAGATTGGGAGATAGAGACAGGCAGAGGAGAAGAGATATGTAGAGACAGATGAGAAAAAGAGGGGGAAAAATAGAGTGTAGGTGAGGAGGAGAGAATTAAATAAAACGAGAGACAGATAGACAGACATACGTAGAAGGGGAGGGTGGGAGAGATAGGGAGAGGAGAGGGGGAGGGGTGAAAAAGGGAGGGGTAAAAAGGGGAGGGGTGCAGACAAGGAGACGGTGTCTGGCAGTATCAGGAGGGTGGGGAGAGAGGGGATAGAGAGAAAGAGAGAAGGTGAGATAGATAGAGAGAGCGAGAGAGAGAGAGAGAGAGAGAGAGAGCATTATTATGATATTTATGTCGTTGTTCACGGGTCATTGCATCTCTATTCTGAACTTTTTCATTGTTTATCGGACAGGTTTGGGGTAATTCGTTTGACGTGTTGATACATAGGACCTTGGTTTGTACTTACAATACAAGCCTCATCAGTCGATTTCCCGTTTTTCACAAACTTTGTCATGCTTTCTATTCAGTTTATTTTCCCACTTTCATGTCAGACCCTCCGACGAGTACACCTGCATCGTTAAAGCTGCACTACGCTCATTCCACTTTGAGCGATTTTCAGATAATCGTCGGATTTGTCATCGAGGGCAGATATTTACATTGATGCTCATACTATCCATGCTCATACAGTCTGAAGACTTTCATGGATCAACTTTTGTTCAAGAAGTGGTTGTGACAATATGATTTGATCTTGGTAAACTTGAATTTTCTCAGAGCTATATTGATCAATATTTATATTTGGGTACATTAGGTAGAATAGATTCATTAGCATCCATCGAGTGCATGCTACAACCTGATTTATTATGTGTTTATTTATTTATTTACCTACGTATTCATTTATATGATTATTCATGTATTCAGTTATTTAAATGTGTTTTCACATATCTATTTATCGTTTATATATTTATTTATTTATGTATTCGTTCATTATTTAATTTAATGAACTATTCCTCAATTTATTTATTCGTTTATGCATTCATTCATTCATTCTTTCATTTATCTATCTATCTATCTAGCTATATATTTGCAGTTATACAGGGTAGCATTATCAGTTCTCATTTCTTTTTACCATAAATAATAATTTGAAGGTCACATCTACTGGATTATCCCACACCTGAAATAGACTGGTTTACTACAATATTAAAATTGTATGTATAATTCTTTTTCAAAAAGGTTGTTCTTGACAACAAGAAGGCTTGTCCGACATAGCAACAACTAATGTATGCAGTCTGGATTCCAAGTATTGTAGTTCAATCATTAAATACAGATTGATGGAATACCTCGTCAAGAAACATCCATTATTTTGAATATGTTAGTGAACCGCTCTTTTAGGTGGTGCAGCTTTAAAGCGGAATTCCTCAACTGGAACCTCTCCGACTTCAGCCCACCTGTATGACCACTTTTCCGAGACTCGGCGGCGCCTGCACCTGCGACACCCCGGACCCAGCCCGTCAATCACTGACACTTCACCGCTCGAAACAATACAGTATTGTTCGCTTGAGTGGAACACGTGTAGGGGCCTTCCAACATCAACAATACATGTTTTCAGCCGACAGCGCTGCCAAAAAAAAACGGGTGATTGCGAACCTACTGGATCGTTTAATTATGATGAAAAATAGATGAAGAAAAATAAGGGGAATGGGTTCCTGCCGGGCGCGAAGTGCGAAGACCCGTGGTGTATTCACACCTACATGCGCGTGAAAATCTTTAAATTCCAACCAATCTGATTTAGTGAAATATTTTCTTCAAATAACAAGAAAAGGGAAACACAAAATGTGAAATAACAGCGTGAAGCCTCGACAAAGAATAATATAGAAGAAAAAAAACATGTAGATTGTTGAATTTATTATTGAAGCACTTCGTTCTAATCTATACGACATCATCAGCTTTCGTTTTTTTTAGAAACAGAAGGTTAAAATTGTAGGGATACATTTAAAAGCTTTAAAACAAATCTGCTTTGGAAGCAGTTTGAATATTTTTGGGACACTGAGTCAATGTACAAATTCATCCCTACAATTCCTATATCTGTTTCTGTTTTTATTGTGTTTTTATCTATCTCTCTCTCTTTGTTACTCCCTCTCTGTCCCATTCCCTCTCTCTCTCTCTTTCTCTTTCTCTTCCTCCCTTCACTTTTTCTCAGTTGCTCATTCACTGTCTCTGTCTCTGTATTGCTTTTTACCTACAATCAATATTCTTCTTCTTTTTGGGGGCACATCCCTCCATTTCATCTTCTCTTATCAGAAACAGAGCTCATACAATGATACCAATTTTCCACCACTTCTTCTTCTACCGCACCTGTATACTCATAACTCCTCCTCCTCCTCCCTCTCTCTCCCTCCCATCTCATTTCCATATGAATAGCTGACTATCCAGGGGCCTATTCCTACCACCAGTTCCCTGGGCTACACCCTCCATTTCATTTAAATACCCCCATCCTCCGCGTACCCCCGGTCCATAACGTCTCTGGTAGCTGTCGGCTTCATCACCAACACCTGGTGCTCTCTCTTCAAAACGGATACCCCCCAAGAACGACTGGAAGCAAAAATATCTGAAGTTGAGAGAAATAGTGTCAGCCCTCAGAAAGGAATTTTAAACCAATGTGTTGTTCAAGCGACAATTTATTTGCTTCTTAACGTGTTTCTGTGGAATTTATGCATTAACGTCTAACATCTTCACGGCAATCATTTATTATCATGGTTTTTATGCCATGTCATATTTAGATTCGGTTGATTGGGAAGATCCGACAGTGAAGGAGACAAATGCAAACGTGTAACCTTTGCTTCTGATGCAAGATATTTAACTTGCTATTTTTGACCAAGCATTTCGACTCCGTAATTGGGCATTTGTTATTTTGTGTTGAGAATATCAAAGATATTGATTGAAATCATTTTGACCTTAAACTGAGACTACAAGTTCGATTGTTCCTTCTGCGTATCCACTTCTTCCTTTCCATCCACGAACTTGCTGCTTTCAAGAATAATACCAAATATGATGGAGGGCCGTTATGTATACCTTGTCATCTGTTTGGCCTTCGTGGTCAACGCCTTCCCGTATGACCACGACATACCGGCCAGAATATCGACCTACGTTCCGGACGTCGACCTCGCCCCTCCGGGACGGCAGGAAGAGATGATAGGCTCGATGGAGGCCAACGAGCTCCTGAACATCTTGGGTTTGAGCAAGGAAACCATCCCCTCGTCCTCCAGGGAATCCTCATCATCGTCGTTGTCGTCGTCGTCGGAGAGGAACCGCTTCGCTCACCCGTTCATGGTCAATCTCTACAACTCGCTTGCTGATCCGATGTCAGGGTTAACGTTTGGGCGGAGACCGTACAACGCCACCAAGATAAGAGCGGTGCCTGAGGGAGGTGAGTACTGTCCTTTGGGACCCTGCAGACATCTATCACACTGTCCTGATAGATTGATTGAGTCTAGCACCTATCACATGGCACTAAATGTCAAAATCGGGTTTTCTTTGGGTTTAAATTTGTTTGCGTCGACGTGATTAGTCCTCCAAATCAGTTTATCACATCTAAAGAAATATCTTCGTTTATACGGAGTGTTTGATAAATATAAACCTTTCAAAATGCCACAATAATCAAATTAATGATGTATTAAAGCATTGTCAACTTTGCCAACAAGCAATACTATACAGACACGAGAAGTCATCTTTGTGTATGGGAGGCGGGCAACATAAAATGGGACAATCAGGATTAATAAAGGACACAATATCACATGCAATATCGGTGCCCCGGGCATTTTTATACCAATGCCAACTTTTGGTACTGTCATGTTGAAAATGCTTTTGTAGATATCTTTGATTAATTCGCAGTAAGAGAATAATTTGCAGTTTATTGACAGGAAAAAAAAATCAATTCATCGGAGAAAACCTTTATTCATCGCCAAGGGGAGGCATTGCAATTAGAGATAGGAAGAGGGAGAGGGAAAAAAGGGGATACAGCAATACAGAAATAGAGAGAGAGAGAGAGAGAGAGAGAGAGAGAGAGAGAGACTCATCTAAGTCTAAGGCATACTTTACTTTAAAAGAAATATATTATCGACTCGATTCGAAACTTATATGTATGTCTTTTTTCTGAACTTTGGACGAGGGTAGTCTTTATTTCATTTTATTTGTCTGCTCGTTTGGTTGATTTTTTTTTCTTCTTCTCTTTTATAATTTATTTTTTGTCAGTGGTGTCGAAAACTCTAGATTTTGGTAACTCTTAAATAATTCAATTACTCATGAACATGCAATTCGCAAGTCAAGTCTGCTTAATTACAGTGGCGTTGTAAAGCGATTAATGAGAGTCCAACTGTTCTGGCACTCTACTTAATCATTTTGGTTCGTGTGGTTTTGGGCCAACACGTTTCAATTAATTGTATTCCCCGGAATACAAAACAGCCATGACATCAACAAGTTCTCTATAAAGAGGCCTGCTTTCTGTCATAGTTGGTCATTGTCGTTTCAACTCACAAATCAAACTATTTCGTTTATCACAACGAAAAATATGGCATGTAACATTGCGGTCTAAAAATTAATTAATCCCGAAAAAGAGAGGGGGCGGGATAACAAAAAGGGGAAAGGTTGGTATGGTTTGGTTAGGTTTGTTTACAGATATAAAACAACATACTATGTTGTATATCATACATGATACGGATGGATAGCCCCGTTCAGCTTTGCCATATTTGCACTGCTGTTCTACCGCTTGGTACAAGTGGTACTTTGAATACCGATTGTCTAAATAGATTAAAATGACTGACACATAGATGCTAAAGAAAAGATTAGTACACCCACGTAAACGATTTCCTTCGAATCTCATTGAATATAATCGATGTAAAAATACACAAGCACCTGACAACTTTGGAAAGAATTTCCACACAGCCCCATCCCCCTCCCCTCCTGGAGAGTAATTTTGGCAGCGTTTCAGCAGCGTTTTGTAGTCACAGCTCTGCCGGCTGGCGCAGCGCCGAGCAAGAAATCTTGTCTCGCTGGCGTAGCCATAGACCGTCTCGTTGCGGCGGGGGCGGACGTTTGGTTGTCTGCCCCACCAATTAAGCTTCACCGGATCATCAAAGAGACAGACGTCTTGTGCCAACAGAAAGTAACACGGATAAGACAATATAATGATAATTATAATATATTTCGACAATTAAGATGACAGTCCTCCGAGTCTCTATCATACAGTCAATAATATTGCGATAAAGAGCTTATTAAGAATATCTTTATAAAAGCAATAAAACATGATCGAAAAGACTTTCGAAAAATCAACCTTAAAGCAATTCCAATAGTCTTTTTTCCCATCACAAAGCATTACAGTATAGTATTACGTAAACTCCACACGACTTGTACAGGCTGTGTAATAGGATATTGAACATGCTGTTGAGTTGATTTCTTTGTGATCGTGTTATAAATATTTGATAAGAATTTTTTTTATCTCATAGTACTTGTCGTCAAAAGTCATATCTATAAACAGAAATTCATTATAGTGCAAAGAAATAGAATCATGAAACGTGGATGAATGTTGAGAGCAAAGTAATATTTTCCCCTTTTTCTCCCTTTTTCCTTTCTTTTTTCTTATTTTTCCTTCTCTTTTTGTACTTTTTGTAATTTTTCTGAAAGAAGGGTTATTTGTGTATTATTCACTCACCTAGTACTTGTTGAAGTGTAGAAAACTTCAGGTAGTTTAACCGCTTACTGCAACATACCTTATTTCAAAATGTCAGATGAAGAACAGTGGAATTTGTACTCGAACAGGTGTAAATTTGAACGGTCTTTCTTAACATCCATTTCTCTCCCACCTACCCCGCCCCCCTCTCCCTCTCCATGTTACAGGCCGTGGTGGTCGACTAGGCTTCCAGTTTAACCTCTCCCTGGTGGAATCGAACGTGGCCCTCCTCCAAGCTGAGTTTCATCTCTACCGTCTTAGGCCTCGCTGGACAACATCTCACGATACCAAGAGACCAAACTACTTTCAGGTGACCATCTTATTTTCACATCAAGGCCCCTTCCCACAAACAGTTGCGATTGAGCCAAGTCAATCGCATGTTCACTTAACCAATCGCAAGTTTTTTAGTCCCTTATCTCTTATGTATCTAATTGCGACTAATCGCAACTGATTATAATAAGGGGCCCAGGAGTTCATTAACCTTAATAGTGTTTTTGGCATCAACAATCTGCTGCTGCATTATTTTGTATATCTCAAATAGTGATTGTATTTTAATATGTATAATGTAACTAAATACGGAAATAAATACAAAGAAAAGGAAGTTGAAAACAAGAGCAGATCAAAGGCTGTAACGACCATCCCTGAAAAAACATAACATTCCTTGAAAGAAAAATCTGGATTCTTTTTACTCATCTCCAGCCCCTCCCCAACCCGGGCCTGGTTCAGCCCCTGTAAATGTTTGCACTAGTATCAATCCACTTTGCTTTTAAAAAAAAACACGAATGCCCCCCTCCTCGTTCACAATTGGTAATTTATGCGGCAGCTCGATCTCGGTCTCTGAGGTGTGTTAAAACAAAGGCATTTGTCTTCTGACCCAGAAGGTTTATGACCCTATAATTCTGTCCCCTGTTTGGTCTGTCAAAAAAGTTTACAATATGGATATTAAAGCATGCAAAGGCTGGGAGACATTTGGGCAAGTATAATTTATAACTGGAAGCCGTCGCCACCCCTACCCCCCCCCCCCCCCCCCTCTCGTCGAGAAAAGGATTAGATCGGAATGCTAACCAAAGAGTCTAATTCTTAAAAAAAAGGACTAAACACCATTATTATTCAAAAAATTGTTGAACAATTGGGGGAATTTTATTAGAGCCCGACATCCGTCATTCATAGCGCATGCTATGTTTAGGAATGTGTCAAAAAAGCGTGCTAATGATTACGTCCCAGAAGGTACTCCCCGTGCTTCGCGGGAGATTTTGGTTTTGTTCTTTTTTGTTCCTGATATGGTCATTCCTCGGCGGAGTAACGGGGAAGCAGAACCCGAAAACACAACTGTAAAGACTGCTCAGTAATCTTTTTCGTTGTTGTTGTTTGTTTATTTGTTTGTTTGTAAGATGTTTCCATAACAACGTGAAAAAAAAACAAGGTACAGTGGCACAAACGACACAAATTAAAGTACAATAAAGATGACGCATAGAAATATGCAAAGGACACAAAATGTCATGAATACCAGATGAAAATTGTAAATTATTTATCGGTTTTTTTATCACCAATTTTACATCTTTCAAATAGAGTAACATGAATTTTATAAGTAATCCTGGTTTAGAAGGAAAATATTAATAAAATTCCTCACGGGGTTGCATGCAAGCCAGAAATTGGCTTCTTGTTAGGCCCTAGGGATATCTTGGTATGCCTTTTCGACTCTTTGTTAAGAAACAAAAAAGCATAAAAACAGGCTTGTATCTCCTTTAAATAAAAACGTGAAGAAAAAATAAATAATGTGAGACATCAGACAAAGAGGATGAATAAAGGGAATGGAAATGATTGATTGAGTATGTCTGTAGGAAATTGTAGTTAGACTTCGTGTCTTTTTGAAAGAAAGAAGATATTTTGAGGGCAGTCAAAATTAATGGCGACCCGCAGACAGTGAGATTTGGCAGTGCAATTATGCTGGAACAGAAAACCCAAGTCCGCCTCATGTCTGAATTGAAACACACCCACCGCTTTCTTTTTCTTAATCTTAATTTTACTTTCAAAAGTCAAAAAAAGTCTTCTTCTTCTTCTACTTCTTCTTCTTCTTCTTCTTCTTCTTCTTCTTCTTCTTCTTCTTCTTCTTCTTCTCTTCTTCTTCTTCTTCTTCTTCTTCTTCTTCTTCTTCTTCTTCTTCTTCTTCTTCTTCTTCTTCTTCCTCTTCCTCTTCTTCTTCTTCTTCTTCTTCTTCTTCTTCTTCTTCTTCTTCTTCTTCTTCTTCTTCTTCTTCTTCTTCTTCTTCTTCTTCTTCTTCTTCTTCTTCTTCTTCTTCTTCTTCTTCTTCTTCTTCTTCTTCTTCTTCTTTAATCCTAAGCATTTTATGTTCCATGGAGAGACACACTAGCTAAAGGCACACTTCAAACAATACGGCGTTTTAAGAAATGAATCAACTATTTTCTCTAACAAACCCGAGCAATATTTTTGCTTTAGATATAGGCTAGGCCTATATTACGTATTCCTAGGAAATGTGTTTACTTCTGACACGTCAAAACTGCTCGTCTGCGCCCTCAAAGAAAAAGAAAAATATTAAATTTTTCTGTTTGTAGTGATCGAATGATATAATGATGCTTTTAAAAACAAATTCTTTAATCAAGTTTACCAAGTTTCATCTTTTTATTATATTTATCATTAAACAGGTCCACGTCTACCAGCTCATGTCATCTGACACGTCGTCGTTAGAGGGCGCTAGACTAGTTGGATTGAGGTTGATGTCTGCGAAAGGAACCGGGTGGGAGGTGTTCAATATCCGAGATAGTAAGTATGAGCTGGCCAGTCGATAGAACAGACTCAAGATATACGTCAGCAACTACTTCCGAACAAAAATCAACTCATTTCAATACCCCATTGTATGTCCCATAGAAATAATGTTCGGATTACTTAACATGTGATTGTAACATGACTTGTGTCATGTCCGCCAATTTCAATTTTTCAAAAGTAGTTGCGACCGTGTTGGAACTACTTTTAAAATACATTTAAATCTACTAAGGTTTACAAAGCTTGCTAACAAAAATTACGGTAGAAAGATGTGACTGAAACAATACATAGATTTTGATAGTATTTATAACCCAGGATAATTATGATAACCAAACCTGCTCTCCGCTGATCAGACCCAAATGCATGTTTATCAAAAGGTGACCGAAAGAATAAAGCTTTTTGCTAATCCTTCTTAAAGGACAAGGAATAATATATTGTAATAGGCCCCCTACAAAAAGATTTTAATTCTAATTTGTTGTCATAAATGTTGATATTAATGATTGCTGGAATTAGTGATTAGTGATAAGACGGAAGCTTATATCATAATTTTTTACTTGACATAATCAGTTTTATTAATTTACATATCTTATCTGTCTTATCTACTATACGTTTAGCTGTTCAAGACTGGCTTAACAACGAGACCTCCAACTTTGGGCTCTACATCACTGTGACGTCACTTTCTGGTCAGCCACTTCCAGACAACATGCTTCGGTTCGCCAAGAGAGCGCGCCATGACAACAGCCGTCAACCAATTCTGGTGCTCTTTACACAAGGTAATTTTCTCATTATAATCGGCTATTTTCGTAACGTAACCAAATATAATGCATACGTTTATGTAATCCTCCTCGATACGAATTATTTCGATTCTATGTTATGAAAATTGTTTATCCCCGTGGACAAAATGCCAACGGAATCATATTAATTGTTACGTAGGGCAAGCCATAATGTTTGTCCTACTTAACAAAAAACAATTGTATGCGATTCGCATTCTGAATTGTGAGATAAGCATTAGTCCTATCAACGTAGTCATAATTAACACCTCTTAATTACGTCCAATTTGAATGACTTTGCTAATTGTCTGTCCGTCTAATAGAGAGTCTGGATCGGAGAAGCGGGAAAAGAAACGTCTCCCAGCACAGCATAGATGAGACGCCTCCTTCCGCCCTATCAACAATGTATCACGAGACAAGTTCTTCAGAACTCCAACGCCGAAAACGCTCATTGGCTAAACATCGGGCTTACGTTGAGGGAAGGAACCAATCAGAAGACGCCACACGGTCCGGGGGATGTCTCCGAAAGAGCATGTATGTAAGCTTCGAATCGATTGGTTGGTCGCCGTGGATAATAGCGCCAAAAGGATACGACGCGTACAGGTGCAACGGGGGGTGCCCCTTCAATCCGCGGTCGACGGAGGATTATACGTGGTCTAACTACGCCAAAGTAAAGGCCATCATGAATCGGAGGAAGCGAGGCGTGTCACCCCCGTGTTGCGTACCGTCAGAGTTCCATCCACTCGGTCTTACAATACTCTATCTCGAGCCTGAAACTAGAAACATTGTAATAACAGAACTCCCCGATATGATTGTTGCCAAATGCGGATGTCGTTGATCCAAAACGACTTTTTTTGTCGGCATCTTTAAGGTCAAGTACGCCACTAGCCAAACTTGCATCGACCAGTTGAGCTTCAAGTGGTCCCAATCTCTCTGAAACTGTACATCTACGACAAGCAAAAACTATGAGTACGAGTATATTGACAAAAAACGTTATTATGAACTATAGTTTAATTCATTTTTAATCTGTATGAACAAACCAATGACAGCCATGGCAGTGTTGTGGCTACGGAGTATTATAAGGACATATGCCCTCAATCGTGTAACAAAAAGGGTTTAAGAAGGAGAAATGAGAGGGAGAGCGCGATAAAAACTAATATGACCTCTCCCCTCTCAAGACGCCCCCTCCCCCGCCTCGCACTGATATACAGTACTTTTGACAAATAATTTCGTATTTCAATTAACAATAACCTTGAAACTGCCATTATGATGTAAATACAAGCTTTAATGTTGAGTTTGCCATAGAATATAGGTGGCTATATATATATATATATATATTGTAACGATTCAAATACAACAATTTCTCTGCTGATCATTTTAATTTTGTTGCTGTTGTTGTTGCTCAAATAATTATATATTTGGCAATTATTTTGTTTTGATGATATTTGTGTGGAAAGTATCTATACTAGAAAGACGCAGCGGATCTTGGGCATGGCCACCAGATTTGATGTGTACATGCATGTATGTATCACATAACTGAAACCAGGTGTAACCAAGTTAACCTACATGTATGTAGACCATTAATTGAAGGGAGGGGGAGGGGTGGGGGAAATGTGACCACTGTTGACGAGTGACCTTTCTAGGCAGGTTTTACACCACTTATTTCTTCTGTGAGGCATGCGTCATAATTTATAAGTGACTACTGTATAATGCTGGAATTTATATGAAGGTGGTTGCTTTAGCTTTATTCTATTGTATAACATTATATGACAGTTGCAAAAATGATTTTCATCCATTGTGTCGGAATGTATAGAAACGTCGCCTCTCCGCATGTATCAGAGGCTTGTACATAAACCTACAATGTACATTACACTATAAACCTTCTCTCCCAGATGGCGCCCTATATAATCTTATCATGGCTGTCATTGAACTCAACATTACTCATCATTGATGTAATTCAGGAAGTGTCTTGTATCAAAGATCTTGTTTTATATTACTTATTGTGAGAATTTCTTGTAATGTGAATTCATGAGGAAGGAAAGAAGATATCACTGTAAAAAAATGAATTGAATTCAACATCGTAAAATGGTATGATGGTGCGAATTTTTGTTCTGGGGGGGGGGGGAGGGGAGGGGTTGGAAGCATCGGATAGTTTGTTCTTTTCAAACTCCACTGAAAGGCATAGTAAAGGAAAAGAATACTGCATGTTTTATTCTTTGCCATGAATAAATCATTCAGTTGTCAATTGCGGATCAAAGAGTATTGATTAACCTATTTTCTGTGGGGGCATTACAAAAATTGCCCCAGATGAATAGTTCATTCATGGACCTACAAGGTCAATGGATCAATGGACTACACTTTTAAACAACTGTTTTCCTTCAAAGGAGGGCAAAGTGCATGTACCCTCTAGCAGTCCAACTGTATCTTCAAATGACGTATAGGGCTGCCTCATGCATGTGCTTAGACCCTAGGAAAAACTCTATGACTGTTTCTCGATCATGTCAATATGTAATTTTCTACATTTTAAACAAACATTGCTGTATAAGAAACCGTTTTAACGGAATAATTGCAATGAATACTAAACATATATATATGTATACAATGAGCTTATTATGCCCTGTGACAAGAATGTTATAGGACTTTTAGTATGATTGCCAATGTGTATTGTGTACGTGATGTACATTTTTAATCTCGTATCGGTGTTGATAAAAAACAATATATGCAAGTTAGCAGGGGCATTGGACCATTGTCCCCCGCCTTGCACTAACTGTTTATCTAGGCAGCACGTGCTTTTTTTAAAGGAGGTCTAGGGTGTTTGGTTCCTGGTATCATGAAAATATGACCATAATTAACATTACCAAAAAAACATTATTTTCATTATATTTAGTCTGATCCAAACTACGGTAATAAATTAAGGTTTAGTACATGTACAATCACCAATTCACCATGTATATTATACAGTGTACCCAATATATTAAATGTAGTTGGTAATATCGAGGATGAATTACATGTACTTTGGGCTTGCCCCCTATAAATGCTTTGCCCTGCACACATTCAGAAATCTGAGGATAGATAAGGTAGGCCTATCTGAATATTGGGCGTATAACGGGATTAAGAATATGTAACTTATTTTTGAAAATAACTTTTTCTGTTTGTTTGTTCATAAATCTGTGTACATAGGTAGTATATTTTCTATTTGCGTATCCAGTCATTGCCATTATATGCGATGAACTATTTTGACAATGTAAATAAAAAGCAATATATCAATACAATGCTGAAACGTATTTCATCCCAAGTATAGAATGGTTAATACAGAATGGAGTGGAGAAATAGAACTAAGAGAGACATACATGTAGATGTATGGAGAACATAATTGAGACAGAGAGGATAGTTGAATCAAGTGGAGAGAGACAGAGACATAGGTGTGAAAGATAAATTATTACAGAGATAGGGAGAGAGAGATCAGGGATGGAGAGAGAGAGGGGGAGAGAGAGAGAGGGAAAGAGAGACCAGGATGGAGAGAGTGAGACCAGGGATGGAGAGAGAGAGAGAGAGAGAGAGAGAGACTGGGATGGAGAGAGACAGAGAGAGACAGAGAGAAAGAGAGAGACAGAGAGACAGAGAGAGCGGGGATGGAGAGGGAGAGAGAGAGGGAATGTACAGAAGGAAAGTGCAAGTTCAAGTTCAAGTTCGTTTGATTCAAAACCACACAAAACATCATATAATAGATTACATAAAAAAGAGACAAAAACAAAATTGACGTAGATCCAGACAGAATGTGAATAAACAGAAACATGCAAGGACAGTAAAAAAAAAAAAAATTAAAAAAGAGTTAAATGTGTAACATCAAGAAACGGAAGAACAGAGCTGGATGGACAGATTGAATGTAACTAGGGAGAGAGAAGAAATAAAGAGAGAAAGAGAGAGAGAGAGAGAGAGAGAGAGAGAGAGAGAGAGAGAGTGGATAGGAAGAGAGAGGGAGAGAGAGAGAGAGAGAGAGAGAGAGACAACCATTGGAAAGTGATGGAGGGTGCTGACAGCTAACATATTTGATATTTTTGTAAATCGATAACAAATAATAATGGTTTCATAGAGAAATCCCCATACGATTGCAAAGACTTTCAATAAATTAATTCAAGGGCAATTAAATATCCTATTGTATATCCAATTTAAAAAAAAGAAAAGGCCACATAAATCATTGTAATGTTTGCCTATTTTTAAAAGGTAATGGACAAAACTATAGAAATTGCTCCGAGTTGATTTTTCAAGTTCTTGCGATCTTGTGTCACTCATAAACTAACTCCTTTCTCTTTCTCACACTTTGTTTACCCCTCCCCCTCTTCCTCTCTGTGTCTTTCTCTCTCCCACCTCTATCTCTCTTTCCCTCTCTCGCTCTCTCTCTCTCTCTCTTTCTCGCTCTCTCTCTCTCTCTTCTTTCTCCCCAGGCCTTTGTTTTTAATACGATCAGTATTCATGTCAGGTATTCAGAAAAGAAACATCGTTTCAAAGGCTCAGGCAGACACAAAGTATGTTGGAAGAGTTTCCTCGCTCAGTTTCAACTATGTTGTGATAATGTTTAATGATTGTATTCTTTTCATGATATGATTTTACTTTGTAAATTACATCAGTTAAAACAAATGAGATCCAATCCACGATAAGGTGAACAGTAGACAAATGACATACAAAAAGCTGAACAAAACACTGAACAGAAGTTTCGAATTTAAGCACAATGTTTTATTTTTAATCATTGTCTACAAGATCAATATCTCACTTTATTTTTTAGCATATCACACCTAGTGCAGGACCTGCTGTGCAACGGCTGCAATGTGCCCCATATGGTACATGTCGTCTTTCCATTTATTTTATCCAGGAGGAAATTCCTCTTGATAAGACCACTGAACAGTGTTTATTTTTTAGTATCACAACTATTAGCAAGTGTTATATCCAGAGATTACCAAGAGTATACAAAGAGATTATTTAATTTGGTATTAATGAAAAAAAAGTAACAAAGTCATACTTCGCCCTGTGCAGGTTTAGTTAGGCTATCATGATAAATCATGTGACATACTGTAAGTTGTTGAAGGATTATTCCCATTGGTGCATTTGCTGAGAAAAATTTGAATAATTACATTCCAAGATGAAACCAAACAAATGAACTTTCTGTTGAGAGCCAAAAGGGCATTATTACTGTCTGAAAGTATATCAATTAACGCCCTTCTGGCTTTCAGCAAATGAAATATTCCTTCTTCTCTTCTCCACAGAAATAGTCAGTTGACAGCCTTCTGCTTTTCAACGTGTCTTCAATGTTCAAACACATGTACCACTGCATTCTCTCAATATTCCTTCCATCATTACCAAGACTTGAAATCTTTGGTTTTAAAAAGAATCCACCGAAGTAGTGCTCCTTCAAGGTTTCTGGATCAACACCAAGCCACCTCTTAAAGTCAAATCGCCCACGTCAGCTTGACCCTGGCTACATTCAAATCACGGCCAGTCTTCAACTCGTATCAATTCTGACTCTCCTGATGATCTCTCAGTTTGTCAAAATTTCTCACTGTTTCTAAATGTTTCTGATTTTCTTGCACGCATAGTCTTTCATCATTTTTGCTTGGGTAGAGGGTACTTCCATAATAGTTCATTGATTTGTTTGCTGGTGAGTTTCTGAGCTGTCCCGGTTTTCCCAGCCTGAGTTGCTTCCCTCTTTACAAGCTGTCAGAGAAAGGAAATGAAATGCAAAGGAATAAATAAAAACTCTGTAAAAAAAGTTTGTCTTTGTTTAAGTTTAATGCATATAACACATTCAAACTTGTATCATCTCTCTGAACTTTTGAAATATTGCTACCTTTACTTTAATTCCTGTTATAGCGGCGCATTGCAAGAATGGACTTTGGAGATAAATCGACTATTGAAATATATATGCAAGGATAGATTTGAATTTTCAAGTTTATGATAAGAGTAAATTCAAAGTGAGCACACTTCTATAGTTTTTCTACACTATTGACAGATATGTTAATGGCCCTCATTTCAAGTGTTAAAGACTTTGAAGTCATCATTTGAAGGTAAAAATAAATAATGACAGAATAATCAGCATCTTGATAGTATTACAGCATATTTGTTGTTGGTTTTTTTGTAGTTTATTTACTGTAATCTTGTTTTAATTTAATTAATTATAAAATATAGGCATTTCTATAGCGCCGTCTATCTAGAAATTTTATTCCGAGGCGCATTAGTTATTACCTACGCTTTAGCATGGCTGCCATTACAGCGCTCCAGCATTTCAAGGAATTAATTCCTGCCAGGTACCCATTTACCTCACCTGGGTCGAGCATGGCAAATGAAGATTAATGCCTTGCCAAAGGACATTAGTGCCGTATCAGGGATCAAACCTCGACCTTTGAACTTCAAGTCAAGTGCTTAAACCACTCGACTACGACACTTCTGAGATAATTTTCATGTCTTAAGATTTTACAAGAATAGTTTACATTTTACATTAATCAGAGCTCTTCTTCTAGACCACTATTTTCTCTTTCTTCATATTTTCAATTTTTTGTTTATTACTTATTTTATTTTTTTTAATGATGTTTAGCATCTACATTTTTGCCCTTCTGGCTCTGAACAGACAATAGACAACTTACCTCCGAATCTGCCAAACACTTGTTAAAGAGATTGATCTCGTCTGAACAGTCTGCATCAGTGAAATCATGCTGCTTCCAACAGGACATTAATACTGCCATCTCGGTAATACAGGTTGCAGCTGAAATGTATGAGAAATACATGTAGAAGTATAAACAATATGTAAAACATTTTATTTTCTACATAACCTTAGCTGCAAAGTTATAATCTGTTGTTAAAGCCGGCAAATTCTCTGTCTTAATATTTATGGTGCGATCCATGGTGCAGTTAACATACAGGTGAAGACTAGACCCTACCTAATCCTGATCAATAATTTGCCACATCAGTATTGCCAAATTGAGAGCTACACTTTTGGTTACAAATGCTTTATTCATTTATCTAGATTCTAGGCCTTGACATCTATATGACTTTTAATGTTTGTCATCATGCCAGAAACAAAATTTCAGATAAAATTCACATCACTGTTTCAAACTAGACCTACATGTAGATTCTACATCATTAAATGCACTAAAAAAAAGTAACAGAGCTTACGAGTCATAGTCGAAGTCAAACTCAAAGATGAACATAACATTCAATTGTGTTTTCCTTTTTCACAAACTTCAATCAAGAATCTAACCTTTCCCCTAACACTAACAGTAACACTCACCTCAGCAGCTAACGTTATCAAAAAAGTAAGGTAACATTTAACAACAAATTAACAGGTCCTGAACGATAATAAATAAGTCTTAACTACCTATTAAGATCTAAATAATTGTTTAGACCAAAGGCACAGCTAAAATAAAACAAAATAGATCTAGGCATATCAACCTTCGACTGAAAACGAGTCAGGCAGTAGTAACTTTAGCTTCAGCTTTTCTTTTCATCGGCCTTCACGCACCATGCGTGCGCCTGCCTTCCCCCAGGACAAGCGGGGCAGAAAACGACTGTGTACCATCTCATCTCTGAGCTAAACCACAGTTCATGTTCACTCACCTTCTGGTTTTGTCTTTTTCAGTGATACTCTGTCTCTCAGTGCCAGTGGTTTATTCATGTTTATGTACTCAGTCGGCTTGTAATGATTTCGTAAGATAATTTCTTTGAGGCGTTTCGACATGATGAATTTTAATGGTGTAGACGTAGATCTAGGCCTAGCTTGCAAGTTTCAAGTGATATTTACAGGACTTCACGATTTCGCTATACACGTTATAGGCCTTAGGATCGACTGAATCTTACGAACAACTTTAACGCCATCCAATTATGGTATCGCCGAGTCAAAAAATAAACAAAGAAAATATCATGACATTACAATATCCCATGTATATGAGCATTATTACAAATATAGCATTTGTTTAGAATTACAGATTATTCATAAAATAAAAACTTCAGAGGAAGAACATGGGAGCGGTTATACAATCGATTGTTAAACGATACAGTGTATAAAGAAAATATCTCAAATATAATTAGAAAGATCAAATGAAGTGGGAATGTGTCAAGTGAAAATCTAAGAATCTTCTATGAAATATGTAAAAGAAATTAGTAAGAAAAGAAGATTGATTTATGAAGATTTAGAAAAGAAATACTGTTTATTGCAAAAGGAAGTAAATAACAACCCCACCGAAGAAAATATGCAAAGAGTTAAAAGATGTTCAAAATCAGGTTGATGAGATTTTTTTATTGAAAAATGTAAAGGGGTACTCATCCGTTCCAGGGGGAAATGGTTAGAAGAGGGGGAATCAACTCGTTATTTGAAAGTTTGAAAAGAAAATGGTATTAAAATAAAAGGAAATTGATTGTATAGAAAAGTCAGGAAAGAAAATGTTTAAACCGAGAAAATATATTATTAGAAATGTAGAATTATTACAAAGATTTGTATATGATCCCCGAGGGTGTTTTAACTCTTAACATTACGATCTCACGAGAAAAAAACCACACTATCAAACAATTAGGATGTGCAATTAAATATCAACAGTTTAATATGGATAATCAAAACAAATAATTCACAATAGTTGCTACTCAATTATTGCTAATCCAGATTCATATAATCGGTGGCAGACTAAAAATACACACAATATACAAACGTCACAGGAAGCGAACAACTCTCCTATAGACGTCAATAATGAACATAAAAAATAGCAGTTTTAATTTGTGAAAAATAGTGAAATTTTACAATCCTAAAACCTGCAATTTGACACTTTTCCGATTACCTCCGGCTCACGAAAATATAAAGTGAATTCTTCAAGTACAGTTCTTTATGATGTGGCCACACATGCCCAGTCGAGCAATTATGATTAATATTTCAGGGAATTTGCTCCATTTTCTTTCGCTTGCCTCCTGTAAAGGTAAGCACTGTGTACTGTTCGTATTATCTGACGAGTGGTAGCGAAAAGTAATTATCATTACAAATGCATATATTCCCCTTTGAAAGTGGCCCGTTAGTTTGCAGCTAAGCAGGAATCTTTTGTCTACGTATCTTCATAAAGATCCAGGTAAGCACATGCCTGACATATTTTCTCATGGCGGCATCGAAGATGGACTCAAAAGGGAATGAGCTAGATATGACTGTGTACTGCTCGTATTATCAGACGAGTGGTAGCGAAAAGTAATTATCATTACAAATGCATATATTCCCCTTTGAAAGTGGCCCGTTAGTTTGCAGCTAAGCAGGAATCTTTTGTCTACGTATCTTCATAAAGATCCAGGTAAGCACATGCCTGACATATTTTCTCCTGGCGGCATCGAAGATGGACTCCAAAGGGAATGAGCTAGATATGACTGTGTACTGCTCGTATTATCAGACGAGTGGTAGCGAAAAGTAATTATCATTACAAATGCATATATTCCCCTTTGAAAGTGGCCCGTTAGTTTGCAGCTAAGCAGGAATCTTTTGTCTACGTATCTTCATAAAGATCCAGGTAAGCACATGCCTGACATATTTTCTCCTGGCGGCATCGAAGATGGACTCCAAAGGGAATAAGCTAGATATGACTGTGTACTGCTCGTATTATCAGACGAGTGGTAGCGAAAAGTAATTATCATTACAAATGTATATATTCCCCTTTGAAAGTGGCCCGTTAGTTTGCAGCTAAGCAGGAATCTTTTGTCTACGTATCTCCATAAAGATCCAGGTAAGCACATGCCTGACATATTTTCTCCTGGCGGCATCGAAGATGGACTCCAAAGGGAATGAGCTAGATATGACTCCATCTCTTAAAACTCCTTGATGATAAACAAAAGGAAGTATTCTTTACAAGAGGACAAACAAAAGGTATTCATGAAACACCTCCATCACTTTGGCTGTAATCATTTCAAATGTGAGACGTCTCTACGTGAAAAAGATATTTGGGGTCATATTTTGTACAAGTGCTATCTCCGAATTAGTTTATTTTATACCGCATAATGCCCATTTACCTTAAAAAAAAATGTTAATTAAAAGCTGAATAACTATACTTCACCAAAAAAAAAACTAACAACGATTTCCAATACAGATGCGGTTATCAGACCCCTCCTCCCCCTACTTCTCTTAACATTCTTTTTTAGAAACGAAATAAAAGAACGGGGAAAAGAAAATAGTCCTCAAGTATTAAAGGTCGTTAAAGTATACAAGAAATTTCTTTGATATCATCTCCTTACAAGCATATCAACTGGTAAGCAATTTTTCATACCATGGGGAAACATTAAAATGATGTTTTTCTTCAGATTCATCCCTTGGTTTGCCACGAATGTCTACTAGCATAGGTTTAATACCCTCATCTTTTCTACAATAGATAAACACAATTCTATCATACCCCATTCTCTTTCTACCGTTATAAAATGCAGAATACGATATTCCTAATTCCACGTCGATTCGATGGTCTGTATAGACTTAATTGAATTGAAATCGAATTTAACTAAACTAAATTAAATTTAATTGAGGTGGCAATTATCAAGAAAAAGTAAACTGCCGAATTTACTTGAAATTTATTCAAAGTGAAATTGCTAATTATAACAGAACTGTAGTAAACGTTTACATAATGACTGTATATCATAATATTCTTACATTACTTAGGATTTCTAGTCAAGAAACAGAACTTCCGGCGGTTGAAATGAGCCTACTTTGTGTTAATATATTGTTCTTCTCTACATCATAGCAAACTAATCTGTCATATAATCAGTCTCCAGAGCATTCAATTTAAAGGCTTTCCAGACAGGGTGAAAATGAACACGAAGGAATTTGTAATGGAATGCAGCAATATTTACATTATATGGTCCTGTAAGGCTTTAAAAGAAATGTAATTAGTGTATATTTAGTCAAGTTCAATGTAGCATAACTACGAAGAGTAAAACGATATTATAAAATGAAAACAAGACAGTAAGACAAACAGTATTTACACTAACAATCAAGAAAATACAAGCACAAACAAAATAAAAATGATAATACTTTGAGAAAAACGACATAATAGAAATAACACTAATGAGAAGTTAATCGATATTTTATCAATTTTCAAGTTATAAATATGAAATCATATCACTGGCTTCTATTTCTTGAGTCTCAAGTGAAAGATACCTCGTAACTTCAACTTTGAAATGTGAATAGTTTGAATTGCTTCTAAGTAGCATTACATTCTTCTACGCCGGATGAAACAGCAGGAAACGGGTTGGGGAAATATTGATACCACACGTTTAAAAAAATTCTCTTTGCTTAAATTTAGTCAGTGTGTGCTTTGTCACACACACACAAACAAATGAAAAAAAATCAATCAAAGAGTATAACAATGAAAACTGACATACTACAGAGATTTATCTTGCACTCATCAGAGTACATCGTATGAATGATGAGTCGAAAAAGCTTTCAACAGTGTGTCTGTAATCATTGTTATTCTTCGATTTTGCAGTAAAATCATTTGTTTAAATATCAAAGAAAAAAAAAATAATTCAATTTTGTTTTATTAAACCATTTCAAATCAAAAATAGTATACAAATCATGCGTGTATGAACATTATTGATACAGTGTAAATGGTCAGGGTGCCACTAAAAGCCAAGGCTTTAGGCTATACATATAATCACACGACGCAAGAAGTATTAAAATTCATGATTATTTTACGTATTTACATACTTCTTCGAAAGAGGGACGTTATTAATGTATTGTATAATTTCTACTGTATGCAGGCAACTAAAATATATCGAGAGAATGGACATCTTCTTATTCGTTTAGCTATTACATGATAAACAATATAATATTAAACATATCGGCCCATATTAGAGTTTAACGTGGAGCAGAAATGTATACACACCACCAGGAATGGTAATATAGAGTGTGACATGGATTACAGTGATACTTTGATAAAATACAACTTCTGGTCACAAGCAAACGCGAGCATGTCTGGAGAGAGGGAAACCAAGTAACACCAACTATAATCAAACGTCAGATTAAGTTCATTGAACTCAACTCTTTCCTTCAGGTTCAGACCATCAAGGTCATAGAGCCTGATCACCACGCTATAATTCTCTTCATCAACACTCGCTACATACACCCTGTCCTGCTCATCCAGGGCAGCATACAGGTAGACATCGTTTGGAGATTGTAGAGACTTACCAGCATTCCCATCCCTGTCATAGACCGTCACCACGCTTGGATTGATACAACATGAACTTGTGACGATCAAACCCGACCTGGTGGCAGATACCTGCATCGTATCGTTCTGTTTTGTTGGAACAGTGTGTTTGAGAGTGGATCCAGTCGGGTCATAGATATAGACTTTCTCCTCATTGCTAACGATGAGGATTTCATCTGATGGACTGCTGTTTAGAGCGTGTTCAGAGGCACTTCTATTCAAGTGGATGGTTGATTTCCTGGATCCATTCGGAGAATATATGTGTGCTTTATTGTTAACCGTGGGTATGCATAACGACCTGTCTTTTTGAAACACAGGATCATAACACGTCATGTTTTCTGGTATGTTTGCATATTGGTGCGTTTTACCAGCTGAATCAATGATATCTATACCCTGTACCTGAAAATATCCGATAGCCGCACTGTCATCAGAGTACGGGGTCATACCACACATCCGTCCCCGTAGATCTACACACTGAATGACTTGCAACTTGGGATCTGATTCTGAGATGCTCCCGAGGTCCAGACGAGTATAAATTGCAGGATTGAACCTCTTCTCCTGTGCTTTCTTCGTGATGGCTGCCGCAGAAGTGTGATCAGTAGCCTCCT